TGTGGGCAAACAATCACACTGGAAAGAGGTCCCATGTCCAGCAACAGGTGAAGGGCTCAACCCTTCGGGGTGAGGACATGGAATACTCGCTGCTCTGAGCAGTAGAGAGGGCCAGAGTGCTGACGCACACACTGGTCTCGAGGACCCGCAAAACGTTGAGTGAAAGAAACCAGACACACGCTAATACGCTGTATGATTTGGTTTATATGAAGTCTAAGGACCAGGAAAATGAATCCGTTGGGATAGAAATCAGCTTCTCCTTTCTCAAATGATAATAACGGTACCTACCTGATGGAGTCATGGCTGCGGGGGTGAACGGACAACCCAGCTACAGCCCTTAGCCTGGAAAACCTGGCGTATGAGGACCCAAGGAAAGTCAGCCACGATTACCCATTGATTTCACCCACCTGAGGAATTTTAACGACCAGGCATGAGCGGATGCTCCCAGATTGACATTTCCTTCTCCTGAGCACTCTCTCTCTCTCTCTTTTTTTAAGATTTTATTTATTTCAGAGAGAGAGAGAGAGAGCACGAGCAGGGGGAGAGAAACAGAGGCAGAGGGAGAAACAGACTCCCCTGCTGAGCAGGGAGCTCAACGTGGGACTAGATTGCAGAACCCTGGCATCGTGATCTGAGCCCAAAGCAGATGTTTGACCCACTGAGCTACCCAGGCGCCCCTCTCTTGAACACTCTTAGACTCAGCTTGTGTACCTGGTGGTACTATAGCCACCTTAAATTGAAATGTATCTAAAAAATTACCCCATTCCCCACACCCCTTAAATCTAGCTCTTCCTGTGTTCATCATCATTGTTCAAGATGTCACCATCCACTACGTCACCTAGCATGGAGATCTTAAGCTCATGTGTACCTTCTACTTCTGGTAAGGAAGCTGCCCGGACAGGGGGGAGTGATTGGCAGAGCCTCTAGAACCTGCATCTTCAACAGCTACACTATTCAGCTGTCCTTAGGGAGAGCAAGGAGACTTCAGAGAGAGGGGTCACTGGGCACAGAATCCAAGGAACACTAGTATTTAAAAGAATAGGTAGAGGATGAGAAACACGTGGAGTTGAAAAAAATGAAAAACCAATCAGGGAGGTAGAAGAAGCCAGAATTTTCTGTTATGGGGGACACGGGAGGAAAGAATGAATTTATTTATTTATTTATTTATTTATTTTAGATTTTTATTTATTTATTTGGAGGGGAGGGACAAAGGGAGAGAGAGAATCTCAAGCAGACTCCATTCTAACCGCGGAGCCTGAGGCAAGATAGGATCTCACAACCCTGAGATCATGACCTGAGCGGAAGCCAGGAGTCCAACACTTAACTGACTGAGCCATCCAGCCCCCTACCCCCACCCTGGGGAGGAAAGAATTTCTAAAGAGAAGAAGCAATCAAAGAAGAAGACTGAAAAATTGCTTTGGGTTTTGCCGCTGGAAGATTGCCAACAACCTTAGTGAGAGCAGTTTCAGGAGAGTCATGGGGCAGGGGGTGTGGGGGCCGGCACGGCCAGCGATGGAGCTGCTGGAAGAGAAGCAAAGTCAACAGAGATTTCACAGTACAGCATCCAAAACGGGATGGGGTGGGAGGCCTTGAAAGCCAGAAGAGGAGAAGGGCTGTAAGAAGTGATACCCGTTTCCCAAATGTTAGAGATTCCCCATCTTTGTAGCGGATAGCTCAATCTGTTCATCTTGAAAATGAGGGCCCCTCAAGGGTAGATGCTTGATGATGTAGACAAATTCAGATGTATACACCGAAATGAGTCAGAGAAACAAAAGCATGCCTTCTTAGAAAAGACTGTGAATGTCCTCTTAAACTCTTAAAAATCTATGAGCATCTGAACCCCTGGCCATTTGGTGATGGGAAATGGGAAGAGCCATGTGCTTAATCAACATGGTGTCCTCCTCAATTCTCTCTTGAGTCAATCAGTGATGCTCTGGCGGTTCTCATGGGGTTCAACTCCGGGGTGGTTAGAGGTCTTCTGCACTGAGAAGGTACAGTGTTATGAACAACTGGGGAGCCAACAAACTGGGTCTTTCACAAGTCCAGGATTTGAGGCAATCTAAGCTTTTTTTTTTTTTTTTTTCCCATGTTTCTAGGTCATTGCACTAGAAGTATGTCTGGCATTAAATAAATAATTATTGGAATAAGAAGAATGAACCTAGCTCTTAGATGTTATTCAGCTAAATGCCTATATTCCACATCTAAAAAGCTCATAAGCCAATACTGGTTAAATAAGAAAGATGAAAAAATTCAGTCTTGATTATATCATGCTGTGACTGTCACTTGCTAAATCCAGAGCACAAGCTTCCCTGATGAATCACGCACAAGAAGCCGAACGGATCAACCTTCTTCTAACCCCACCAAACTGACACCTTCCCCCTCCTCTGTGATAAATGAACTTTTACTTTCCATATTTAGATAAAACCTCAAAATTGTTACTGGCAAATAGTTAGGCACTGCAAATTTAGAAATGCTAATGAGTTAACTAAATAATATTTTGCCAAAAATCTCAGAGAGACCTCATGAAGGACACTCCTACATCACACTGAACCTTCCTTAAGGCCGGTGGGATACTGTTTACTTCCTTTTATTATCATGGAACCCGAGGGTAGCAGATATATTTTCAAGTATGCCGCGCTTGCAGGGTCGCAGTACAACTTGTCTCCTGGCGGACTGCCATTCACAGCTCAGGCTTGCACCACGGGTGACCCTGTACATATGACGACGGGGGTTTAGTTGCCAGTAATGGGAAAGGACAGACACTAACATTTACTAACAACGCACTACTTGGCCGGGACCTAGTCCTACATTTTCCCCATTTAATAGCCAGGAAGTCCATGAGGTGGGTATTACTTTTCTTTCTGCACATGAGGAAATGGGAAGGAAGACAGCAAGCAAGTTGTCTACAGCCGCTCTTTTCACTACAGCACGTGCAGATAAAGCTATCCCAGACAACTAGCTGCAAAGAGGCAGAGCAATGTTGAACGAAAAAATCTTTAAGTAGTTGCCATAATAATATTATTATTGTTTAGTATTACCTAATGATTTGTTTGGTTTGCAATACCAGTATAACTGTTATTATAGTTTTATATATCTATATATAAAACACATTATCGTTATATGTAACTATGATGAACACATCATAGTTATGTGTAACTATGATGTAACCAGTATAACTATTATCAAAGCAGAGCTGTTATGGCAATTTTGAGTCAGAAATAAAATAATGAAGAAAATCAATAAAACAGGGGCGCCTGGGTGGCTCAGTGGGTTAAGCCTCTGCCTTTGGCTTAGGTCATGATCTCAAGGTCCTCTGATAGAGCCCCACATCGGGCTCTCTGCTCAGCGGGGAGCCTGCTTCCCCCCTCTCTCTCTGTCTGCCTCTCTGCCTCCTTGTGATCTCTCTGTGTCAAATAAATAAATAAAAGCTTTTAATAAAAAAAAAAAGAAAAGAAAAGCAATAAAACAATAAAACCCTGAGACCAAGAGAGAATTCTGAAGCCAGTAACATTTATTAAAGGCATTCTGTTTATAACATTTCTTATCAGTGCACATGATTCTAAGAGCAAGTATATTTTCATCATTTGTTTGAATACTGTATAACACTTTACTTAAAAGTATAAATATATATATATACAAAAATTACAAAGACATTAATAATAGGTTTTTGACCAATGAAGTCATGAATTTCGAAAGCAGGAAGTAAAGACTAAGTACCAAACATTAACATGTTTAAACTCTTTAAACTACTTTAAACTACTGTATTGATACTTTAGAAAGTTCCTCAAAGAAGTACAACCTGCAGGCGAAGTTCTCCTATGTATATTGACACTTCATGAAACTTGATAGCAAAAGTGCCACTTGGCAGAGAGTTGACTATTAAAAATACTTTTAGAACTTCAGAAAGAATACAAGCTCAAATGCCAGAAAGAAGAGAAAAAAAAAGGAAAATTAAAGCAAATTTGCTGCACTGCACCATTTTAAAGCACCTGGCAATACCGCACATGGTTTATTAACATTGTTCTGGCTACAGTAACCAGTAGTATTTACAATCTCTTCCCAAAAAGGAAATTACTGAACTTACTCATGGTACTAATATCCAATTTTCACTTCTCAGGCTAAAGTGATATTTGCAAGTGAAAAGGCACATGAAAGGATCAGTTTATTTAAAAGAATTATTCTCCAGGAACTGCTCAATATCGCTCAAGCAGAATCACTAAGTATCTTTCCAGATTCCACATATGCTTGTGGTCAAAATGTCAAACTATTTCCTTAATGAAAGGTCCCAAAAGGAGAATATTGTCTTTATTACCTGATTGCAAATCAACTGTGAGATATAATAAGGATCTTTAACCTTTATCAAATCATGTACAAACTCTTTCATTACACCTTTAACAAAACAAGCATTATCAAGAAAAGGTCCAGCCTCTGATTTCTTAACCCCATTCAAAAGAGGATTCTGGCACTATTTAATTGGTTTTAAACTATATTTATACAGCTCCCATTATGGAACATAGATAATATAGTGAACGATTATACCAGCAAGCCATTTTATTAATATATATTCAAGTAACTATTTCTATTTGGAAAGAAAAGGAAACTGCCCTTGAACACACTGTTCAAAAGGCAACCAGTTAACCTTTCAAGAAAACACTTTTAGATCTAACAATGCAAGTTAAGCTGCCTTAGTAAAACCTATATTGGCAGTTTCACCATAAACCTCATTGTAGCTATTTGCACAGGAGAGAAGGCACAGGCATAAAGGTAACTGATTATTCATGTGTTATCCACTCATGAGAAAATAACTTAATAGTAACTATAGTAACCATTTACAAACAAGCTGAAGAACCAACCAGAGATAGTATATCCATGTGAAAAATAAACATTTAAAATAGTGTATCAATGTGAAAAATAAACATTTTAAATAGTATATCAATGTGAAAAATAAACATTTAAAATTTAAGGCAATGAGAAACTGGAGAAATGACCATTCACTTGTTTTCGAACTCCTAATTTCATTATCTTACCACCATGTTCCAATACGGTGAATGCCTATTTAAAATTATCTGCCAAGAAACTCCTGAAAGCACATGCTGAAATCAGGATTCCATAATGCTTATACTCTCCATTCCCAATGGAAGGCCATCAAACAGATGTGGACTTCTTTGAAACATTTATGCTGACTTCCAGCTTTTTATATTCTCCTACATAAGGAAAATTGCCTACCCAGTGTTCTCTCTCTTTCATGGATGGTCATAAAGTGCCTACATATCAGAATTCACACCCACTGAATCCTACTGGGCGTGCTGTCCTCTGAGGTCACTGCTGGGGACGAGCCATGGAGTTCAAAGACACGCTTTGGTACACCTTTATTCCTAACGGAGTCGGTCCTGCTTGGTTTAGATTGCTGTCCTTCTTCTCTGGTATTTTGGTTACAAGTTTCCCAGGGATTCAACAAATCAGCTCTTTCCTCTGATTCAAAACATAAGAGGAGTGACTTGGCTAGAGATTCTAGTCCCCCATGGCCAACTTGAGGTAGTCTCTTCTCACAGCTGTCAAAAGAAGTAGAGCACATGCTCAAATCATCATGAAAATCCTTGGCCAAGTTGCAAAGACTTTCAACGCAATTCTTGAGAAGATTTTTGTCAGTGTGGCATCCTATGCAAGGAGAAGAAAAAGTTCGTTAACCTTTTCATTTTTCATGAGGTATTTATTACTCTTATATGACTCTACATATCTTTTAGGTCAAAGTAACCCTGTCAAGATAAATCTAAATGACTTAAGATTACTCAGCTTATCTGCTAATTAAACACCTGGGTTTTTAGGATCTAATTATTTAGGCAAAGTACTTACATATTTTAAGTGAGAATATGACCATACACATTTCTATAATTAGTGTCAAAGAAGTAGCATTAATTAGACTTTAGTTAATGAATTAGACTAGAAATGAAAAGATATCTGAGAGTTCTTAAACTATAAAATTTTGATTAATTACAAATCCGTCTTGAGTATATACCTCTCAGTGCAGAAATAATAATTTGAATAGTTTGCTCCAAGCAATGTTTTAACTTCAGGAATTCCTGTGCAAGATTAACCATCTTCTTCAAATCTTGGTATCCAGGACTTTCTTGTAGTTCAGTTCTGAAACTTTTCTGTAAATAAAGTTAATATTTTTAAAGATACATAATAGGCTACATGACAGTAAGGCTTAGTCAATATAATTTTAATCACCAGAGTCTTATCTTCGGGAAAGAGAAGGAGTTTACTTTCCTCACCAGTGCTTAGTTCTGTTTCCACAAGCAAGACCAACATACAATATTCCACAAGCAAGACAACATACAATAATACAACTAAAAACAGTAATTACTGTTTTAAAAAGAAATAAGCATTTTAAATTAATTTTATTTTTTAAATTAAAAGAATTTTTTTTAAACTAAGCTTTATGCCCAATATGGGCTTGAACTCACAACCCTGAGTTCAAGAGTTGCATGCCCTTCTAACTGAGCCAGCCAGGGGCCCCAAGAATTTTAAATTAATTTTAAATCAAAGTACAATCATCATATTACATGGGAATGAAATAAAAAAACAGTACCCTTTATTATCCAATATCATAAAAGATAAATTTAATTTTTTAGAGTTCAAGTTTATATATCTCCCATTTATTTTTATTTAAATAAAAATTTTTGAGCCATAGCTATTTCTGTCCTATTTGACACATTGATTATATACTTAATTTGTATTTTGTTATTTACTTGTGATTTGAAAATAATTTGTCTAATTCACCTATATTTTAAAGTCTTCAAGCATATTGATTATTAAACACAATTTTTTAGCCAGTGACTATCCCAGGAAAAGCTGATAGTTACTAAACTAGTAGCAGTAAGAAATAGATAAAATACTATTAATCTATTAATCAATTTCTTATCTCTTTCTTAAAAAATTAGTTATGACGTCCAAGAGGAAGTAGCTAGAAAACTATGACACATGCTGCAACTAACCAGGCACAAAGGAATTATCTGGCTAAGGATGAAAACTGAAATAAACATATCATTATCTATACTTCGGCTGAACAAAATGCTAAAATACACCAAACCAAAGTAAACATTAAAGCTTCTCTTACTGTTTTCCACTCAGCAAACATGTTTTCAAGACATCCAATCAATCCCATGGCTTTACCTTTCATCTGTTTGGTAACCTATATGGAATATGAACATATTTTACTATATAAATAATTATTTAGAGGTTTAAAAATCCTAGAACTCTATGGGACGAGACAGGCAAGAATTTTAGTCTAAGAAGTCGAAAGACTTGAGTTCTATTACTGGGACTGCAATTAAACAGTCAGCGTACCTAAATCATGTAGGCAGAATTTTTTTCAAAACAAATTGCATGTTGATTCTATATTAACTATAGATACACTCTGATGTTTGTGATAATAACAGCATTTTGTTTTACCTTTAAATATTTATAGGGATGAAATTTCCAAGCCCTCCCTTGAAGAGGGTAACTAATTTATCAAGCAGATATTATGCTCAAAGAACTACATATACATTTTCACCATTTTCACAGAGAAATAGTTGACATATAATGCTGTATTACTTTAAAACTGTACAACATAATGATTCGATATACTGCAAAACCACCGCCACAGGAAGTTTAGTTAACATCCATTACCTCACAGTCACAATTTTTTTTCTTGCAATGAGAACTTTTAAGTTCTACTCTCTTAGCAACTTCCAAATATACAACATAGTAGGTATCATTAACTACTGTCAGTACTTGCCTTCCTATATCTGAGTGATTTCCCTTACATGTTTTATTATCTGCTTCTCAATTATAATTCTATGCTGCTTATGCAACTGTTTTCATTTACAAATAAGAAAACAGATTCCAAGCTCCTAAGACTCAGAACCAGGGTTAGAAGCCTTTGCTTTTGTACTGCTCAATGCTGCCCCCCTGAGGTACCTTTTCACTTAATTTCTGCCTGGGATGGTGTGAGAAGCATTTAATTGGCTTCACCCACACAGCTCTTCCCCAAGTCTAACTTAAAGTTTCTCTCTGTGGTTAAAAAAAAAAAAAAAAAAAAAAAAAGAGGCACACACAAATTCTTTTTTCCCCTGGCTCCAGCTTCACAGTTATAAATCCAATGCCTTATGTTTGAACCCATTTTCCAGTTCTTCGGATTCTTCGTTTTCCTTCCACAGGATTTGGAGTTTTAACTTAAGAGAATATGACGAGCTAAAATCCCACCATGACTATACAGCGGGGGCATACAGACTATGAGAGAAAGTAAATAAGAGAAAGGGAAGGAGGGGCGTCTGGGTGGCTCAGTGGGTTAAAGCCTCTGCCTTTGGCTCAGGTCATGATCTCAGGGTCCTGGGATTGAGCCCTGCTCCCCCTCTCTCTCTCTGCCTGCTTCTCTGCCTATGTTTGATCTCTGTCTGTCAAATAAATAAATAAAATCTTTAAAAAAAAAAAAAAGAGGAAGGGAGGGAGAAGTTTGCCTGAAAATGCCAATAATACGAATTGTATGCAAAATGGGCCTGACCCTTTTGCTATGCATTTCCCCCGCAAACCGCAGCCAAGCTGAGTCTGCGCACCCCGCCCTACTACTCTAAGCACATTTGTGTGAGCTTACTTCGCTTCTACTTTTCATTAACTGACTCTAGGCCCCTTGCACTTACTGCTGGTGGAAACTGTACTTTGCAAACAATGACAGAGAAAAGTGTTTTGGGGATAAATGGCGCTGCTGCTGGGCACCACCAAGCTGGAGATGTTGGCAGTGGGCAGTACGAGTCCACTGTCTTCATTCAAAGTAGCATTACAGAACTGAAACCAGCCTCATGTCTCTAGGACTAGACCCATGTATTTTGATTTAAGGACAAAATGAGCTCCTTTTGAATGTGTTTGTATTTTAAAAGCAAAATAACACAAAATGGGAAAGGCAAACACAGCGAGAACAAGCGCAAGCAAACTGAGGCAGCTAAGACCTGCGGGGGAACTGTGTTTAGCATTTCTGTCCACTGCTCTTAATGGCACAAAATCCTCAGAACAATCTTAGGGAGTTCGTATTCTCATCCTCACTTTTTAAATGCAACACGTGAGGCCCAGGTGAGCAGCTCAAGGCTACACAGGAAGCAGGAGAGCAATTTAATGTTCAATGTTTCTTCCAGTTCTAAGCCGGTTTGGGCAGAGATGATAGCCCTTTAGAACCCATGTAGCCTTTTAGTCTGAGGAGGGTTGGAGAGCCCCTCTAGCTTACATGGACAATTTCTCTCCTGATAAGGAAGCTAGACGCATTAATGAAAAGGTTTTTCTAAAAGGAAAGAAAAAAAACTAACTTACTTGATGCCTTCCTGGAAATGAACCACAGGGGTGGACGCTAAGGGTCCTCTACCTGATTGTCTTCCCTAGATCAAACAGTATGTATGTAAATGAGTACCGTCCTCCTGGGGGTGAGTTCAGCAAACACAACATCCCCAGGCAGCTCCATCCCAGCTGACCGACTCCAGAAAAAGAAAGGGAATGGGCAGAGATGGTTTTAACAAGAAGTTGTTACAAGATTCTAGAGCTGACAGAGCTCCGAGATTTCACTGCTGTAAAGATTAGAACTTATCTCCTGAGTCCCCACTTCACTAATAATAACTCCCAATAATGAAAATTAACGTGCGTGAACAATGATTTACAAACCTTAGTTTTGTAGCCTGTGGAGTTTTGGAGTCCCACAGGTAGAATATAAAACCCTGGCTTGGACAACTGGACGAGGTCCTCCAGCTCTGTAAAATGCATGGGAACCCAAGTAATTCCTCCCTTGCAAAGTGGGGAGGTTCACCCCTATTCTAAGGAGAGCACCTAGTCCCATACTTGCACTGGGAAATTATTTAGTAAATAAATGACTCACAATCTAGGACATAACTATTATTACAGTCAACAGGTGAAGAAACAGAGTCAGAGCGTGGACTTGATAAATGATTGCTGAAAACTGAGAGACTGGTTTTAAACAGTGCCACCTCTAAGACAGCTACTGGGTTCATGTTTAACGTCAGTTAGCTAGAGGAGGTGCTGGGGAAGCATATTTTTGGAAGTCACTCAAATCTTCATTGATTCTGTATCTTGATATGAAATAACAGATATGAATGCCTTTGGCAAAATATTTAGTTTAAAATATGGCATCAGTAAGTGGTAGTTTCTGTTCTTAGGTGGAAAAGAAGAGACGTAAACAAAGATCAGGAAGAAAGAGACCAGCAGAAAGTGAACACTAGATGTCACTCCAGACTCCATTCTGCTCTGGAGTTCATCCGCAGTCGGTTCACTGACAATAACTGACATAATGATCGCATCAGCCTTTTCAATAAAAAAAAAATTCAACACTAATTAAAATACATAAATTTATAAGAATCCAATTTAGTTGAATTAAACTATTTTCTAAAAATCAACTTTATAGGCCATCTGGTACTATATAGAATGTTCTTTTGTCCCTCTTACCTCATTTTGGGTACACTGACTTAAGAGTTCATGCTGAAGTTCTTTTGCTTTTTCTAGTCCAGAATCTAATAGAATCTTCATTCCTAAGCCCACACCATCACAAAGAGCATCCATGAAGTCCTCCTAGAAAAAGTTTTTAAGCATTAAGTAGAAAATTTGGTGTTTTTTTTAAATTATAAAATAATTGTTATATTTTCTGCTTATTTTAGGACTACAGTAAGTTCCTAGTTTATTAAAGTCAACTAAAGCTGGAATAAAAACGGTCTGTAAGAAAATCTATCATTTACTATTCCACATATAACATGTAATAAATTTAGCAAATCTATAATTTAACATTCCACATATAAGAGTTAATAAGGAATATCTGTCTGAGGAGGTGGGCAGAGGATGGGTTAGATGGGTGATGGGTATTAAGTGATGAACCACCGAGTTCTACTCCAGAAACCAATACTGCACTATATGTTAACTAAGGAAAATTTAAGTTAAAAAAAAAAGTCATCTTAGAACGCTGTGTTGCTAGAATATAGTAACATTCTAATATAATACTGTTCTTAATGGCATGACTACTTAGAGCAAGCAAATGCAAATTTTCTAGAATTATGGAGTTCTGTATGTGTTGATTGGCTGTGCAAACCCTCCAGAGTAGGTATGCATCATCAAAGCAAAGATCCAAAAGGCAAAGTGAAGATTCCAGAATTATCCAGTACATTATCTAATTTAGATTAAAACAGTTTTAAATATTGCCAAACTATTAAAAGTATGAACTATTTTAAAATAAAAACAACTTATCCTGTTTAGTTGATATTATTATCAGAAGACTACTGTTCCTCAGATGAAGTCTTCCAAAACTAATATTACCAAATTACCTGAACACTAGCAGCCTTATTGCTACTATTTTCCAGAAAATGCAGCTTGCTCCCTTGAAGAACTGCTAACTGTCCCACATACTTTACAGCTTGTTGTACAATTTGGATTATTTTCGTTTGAGCCTCTTTTACCATTGATGAGATATCTGAACAACATCCCTATAAAACAAAAATGGATCAGTATATCAGATACATGAGATTATAAACAGAGGTAAAGAAAAGACAAGAAAAGCAATTTGAAGAAAATAAATTCTGCATTCATTCATATCGCAACTATGCTTAATAAAAGTCTCACTCAGAATCAAAAAACATGCAACCCTATAGCTACTAACGATGATAAAACCACTTGGATACAGCCTCTACGCCCAAAGACCCTACATGCTAATAGGAGACATAAGACAAGTATGCAGTGAACTAAATAGAAGACAGAAGCAATGAGTGAATGCCCCCCACACCAGAAAAGGGAACAAAATGTGGCTCTTTTTTGCCTTTGAACTTTTCCTGTCCCATTAGCCATCTGGCAGATGGTTAATAAAGATACTTTCTCTTATCAGGGGAGAAGGAAGAGGAAAGGGAAGTGAAAGGGGGAAAACCAACCCTTCAAACAAAAGGCTTCTACACCAGAGTGCACATGCCCAAGAGGAATGAAGCGTGCCTCCCCTGCCCTGCACCGAGATTTTCTCTTTTTTTTTTTTCAAGATTCTATTTATTTATTTCATAGAGAGAGACACAGCAAGAGAGGGAACACAAGCAGGGGGAGTGGGAGTGGGAGAAGCTGGATTCCCACTGAGCAGGGAGCCGGATGCAGGGCTCGATTCCAGGACCCTGGGATCATGACCTGAGCAGTAGGTAGTTGATTAACAGCTGAGGCACCCAGGCGCCCCCAAGATTTTCTTTCTTTTACCTGCCAACTGCAGTGATTCTTCAGAATACTCTTGGCTTGCTTTCTAGGCCATGCTTATAATACTGCTACAAGGTAAGAATTCTCAAACCACACTTAGGTAGGAAGTGTAGTCACTAAGTTCAGTTTTGCCAATTTAACATAAGTCTTTCCTGAGCTTGGTCTAATCTCCCCTTTGAGTCACCTGTTCTCTCCATCCTTGATTCTTTACATAAAACCTTTCCCATAGGGCTATAGGTCACAAGTCCTAAGTTAAGTTCAAAGTGTTCTTCCTAGAGAATGAAAAGAAGGAAAGAAACTACACACCAGTTACTCTCACAGGCACTTTCTTATAACATCCATCCATCCGATCCTCATAGCAACCTTGTCAGATAGGCGCTGTTATTTTTGTTTCCCCAAAGAGAAAATGGGGAGCTTAAAAATTTAAGCAATTTGCCAAAGGCCAAGAACTAATTTAGCATGGGTTCAAACACTGGGTTTCCAAATGCCAATAATGGGTTTGGGAGTTTTTTCCTGTTCCTGAACTGCATCTAAAATCTAAGAGCCAACTAAGTATATCTCATACTCTCTTCCCACCACAACCCTTCGACTAGCTTCCTTCTCCAGGCTCAAGCGTAAGTCGGACTCTCAGGCTTTGGCTCCCCAGCTTTGCTCTCTGGCCAGCCCTCATCTTCATGGCTCTGTGCTATCAGAACATTTCCTTCATCTATTACTTCACCCATACCGGTTTGAGGCCCACCTCTCTGTCCTAGGGTCGTTCTGTTTCCTCACTGCTTATATCCAAAGTGATCCTTCATCCAGTGTGAATTTATAATTAACTCAATAACAAGTATCCAACTGAGCATCCTTCATATGAGGAGTCCTTGTGAGAAAAAGACATCTAAGCCGCTCTAACTGCCCAAAGCTAACTGCCCATTGAGGTGCGTGGGCTTATAGAGATGTTATATTAAAAGGCATAACAGGGGCGCCTGGGTGGCTCAGTGGGTTAAAGCCTCTGCCTTCGGCTCAGGTCATGATCCCAGGGTCCTGGGATCAAGCCCCGCATCAGGTTCTCTGCTCGCAAAGGAGCCTGCTTCCTCCTCTTTCTCTCTCTGCCTGCCTCTCTGCCTACTTGTGATCTCTGTCTGTCAAATAAATAAATAAAATCTTTAAAAAAAAAAAAAAGGCATAACAGGTGAAGTATAAGGTTATCTGAAAAACAAGAGAAATGCCTGAGTTGTGGGGAGACTCACAAAGACCTCCTAAGGAAGAATAATGGACAATTAAAAATAAACGTTTGGGGCGCCTGGGTGGCTCAGTTGGTTAAGTAACTGCCTTCAGCTCAGGTCATGATCCTGGAGTCCTGGAATCGAGTCCTGCATTGGGCTCCCAGCTCTATGGGGAGTGTGCTTCTCCCTCTGACCTTCTCCCCTCTCACTCTCTAAAATAAATAAATAAAATCTTAAAAAAAAAAACCCATAAAAAAAAAGTTTGATTTCAATTTGACTAGTGAGATTACTCAATCAAACAAACATTTCCAAATCCTATCAAGTAAATAGCCCCTCAGGAAGTATTTGATACAACTAACTTCTACCACAATAATAGAATGTAGAAAGTCTCTTGGTGGGCATAATAACGTAAGTTTTGTTCAACATTTTAGAACATTTTGTTATGAATCTAAGTCACCCATTTAAAAAACTGAAACCTATCCCTTTTGATATTTTTATATCTGTTCCCCTCATATATTCAAGGAATCCTTTTTTTTTAAAGATTTTATTTATTTAGAGAGAAAGAGCACATGCATATATGCACAAGCAGGGGAAGGGCAGAGGGAGGGAGAGAATGAGAGAAAACCCTAAGCAGACTCTACACTAAACACAGAGCCTGACACAAGGCTTGATCCGATGACCCTGAGATCATAAAATGAGCTGAAATTGAGAGTTGGATGCTTAACTGACTCAGCCACCCAGGCACCCCTATTCAAAGAATTCTTATGGAGGAGTTCACTGAAATGGTGGGTGACTAGGTATTATCCAATATCAAATTCCCCACTTCTTTTGTAGTAATAGAATTCTTGATTTTTCCACTAGGTACATACCTGTCCAGAATAAAAAGTACATTTCCCAATAACACTTGTAGCTAGATATGGTCATGTAATGAAGTTCTGGCCAAAGATACATAAAGAGAAATGTCATAGGGAAATTTCTAGAAACTTCCCTTAAAGGAAGTTTGGCCTTTCTCTTCTTTGTCACTTCTTCCATCCCGCTGCACTGAACTCAGACAGAGCTCCACCACTCTGGTGGACCATGAAATAAAGGGCAATGATTTGGCTTGGTAGAAAGGTGTGTTGGAAGGGGCTTGGATCTCAAGGAGTGGAGCAGAGCCACTATGCCTACCGCCAGATTTTATACGACAGAGAATAAGCTTTTAGCTTACTACTTCTTCAGAGCCAAGTCTAATCTCACTTGATATAAGGTAAACAGAAAAAAAATTATTTTCCTTGCCTGTGCATCACCAGGCTTGTGACTTATTCAGCATAAGCTGAAATCTAACAAACAAGCAGAGCAAGACTTTGCCTTTTTCCCCATTGCCATTACTGAGGGTTAGCATAGTAGAATATGGATAGTAAAGAGCATGAACTCTGGGCCCAAGCCTGCCCGGGTCCAGATCCTAATTCTATCACTTACCAGCTATGCCTGTAACACTGGATAAGCTACATACCCTGTACCTCCATTGCTTCACTTATAAAATGGTGATTAATAACGGTACCCACTTCTGAAGTTAAGAGATTTAAATGAGTTAATATTTGTAAATCACTGAAAACTCTCAGTGCCTGGCACAGAAGCCATAATTAATAGACAATTATAGATAACCACAGTTTCAGAATTATAAAACAGAAATCACTTCTGAAAATTCTACAGATCTAATTTTGGGGAAGATGCAGATAGTAGGTCAATAAATACTTGCTGAATAAATGAATTCTTCAAATGATAATCAGCAAAGCAATTTACCTGTAAAAATAACTGTAAGTAGCCTCCTAGTTTTTTGATCTCTTGTCTCAATTCATCTTCAAGACTTGCTGCGCTGGTACAAGGCAGAATTTCATTCAGCCAGTGTTTGATTAGCACCACAAGGTGCTCAAAAGCACATGTGACCTGGATTGTAAGTGACTGGGTTGCTGGATCAGAAGAGAACACTTTGAAAAAAGAAGGAAAATTACTGGAAGAAATAATCTCCAGATAAAAGAACTCATATATGATCACCATTAAAGTCAGAAAATGCATGCAAAATGTGACAGTCATTCAAAAGAATATGTAATGTGCAGAAAATAATCATTCATGTGAGTTAATAAAAGCTGTAAGTTTGCTTACAGTTTTCTTGACTTTCTTCGTCTTGTTCTTCATGAGCTTTGGAAATGGCAAATAGCCCGTGATAAATTTTAAGAAAATTATCCATCAGACTGTCTGCCATGGTTTTTTCTTCATCATAACTCTGTCCAAGAAAACTTAAGGATGACCCAATCAATTCTTTGCAAATTCCAGGAAGAAAAGATTCTGCTGAACTTGAGTAAATAGGGCTCGATTTCTCCAGTAATCCTGTCTCGGTAGAAAATAGCCATCTTAAGCCTACTTTTCAGGCATAAAACTTTCAAATAAATGCATTAACACAAGCATATTATAGACTCATTTGTCAGTAAATTCAAAGTAGGCTGTTCTTATTTCAATGCATTTTTACTTCAATAAGCCTAAGTGAAAACACAATTTTATAAAGGAGTCAATTCATCTGTCAGTGGAGTCAGTCCATAGGTTAGTAGTTCCTCAACCACAATACAAATAATAGACAATGCAAATGAACTAAGCAACCACTGGTTTACTCTCCTTCCTTACTGACTTTTGGGGAACACCTAAGAAACTCTGAAATTAGTGAAAACAATGGTAGTTACACAAAAAATAATATAAATAGAATAAATATAAATATCATAATATAAATTAATTAATTCGTAAGCTGAAAGTGTAGGCAATACTAAAGCAAACTCTATTAAAAGGAATGTCTCATTAGCTCTACTTTATATCAGTTCCTTCTCTAGGCTTACTGTAATCAAAATAGGCCAAAGCCAATTATTATGTACAGTTAATATATCAATCACATCTCTGGGAGACAGACTTTCAGGCTAATTTTCTAAGCACTGTCCAAACCAGAAGTAAATGGAACACTTTGTAGAGCTAATTTGGAGACTCTGGTAATAACTTTATACTGGAATGCTAATTCATGAATATAATGATTCTCATTTAATAAACAAGGTTATTTTTTTGGTCTAGGTTCATAGATGACGAAACACCAAACTAAAAGGAAGGTAGAATAAAGACAAAGGGAGGGGACTATTAAGAGTCTAGGACAGGGGCGCCTGGGTGGCTCAGTGGGTTAAAGCCTCTGCCTTGGGCTCTGGGTATGGTCCCAGGGTCCTGGGATGGAGCCCCATATCGGGATCTCTGCTTAGCAGGGAGCCTGCTTCCTCCTCTCTCTCTCTCTGCCTGCCTCTCTGCCTACTTGTGATCTCTGTCAAATAATAAATAAAGTATTTAAAAAAAAAAAAAAAAGAAGTCTAGGACAGGGGAACATGGCTGGCTCAGTCATTAGGGCATGTGACTCTTGACCTTGGGGTTGTGAGTTTGAGCCCCATGTTTGGGGTACAGTTTACCTAAAAAACAAAACAAAATAAAAAGCATTTTTTAAAAAAGAGTGTAGGCCAAAGATAAGAATTTGATTTGGGAAGAGAAAAAAGAAAAGCTACAAAATGCAAAGCTCTACCACTGTAGGATAAGAGTATATCCTAGTCATCATGAATAGTTAACAATATATTCCTTGTTCAGTAAGATAATGATGTTAACGCATTCTAAAATCCAGCATCAACACTTTACAAAGCATATTGCAAAACTCTGGTATGGCACTTAAGGTGAGAAGTTAGGACACTTGCTCAACTTCCCAGAGCTGCACCCTGCACCGTCCCCAGCCCCGTGGCTGCCTGGGCAGGTCCATACTAAAGGCACACGTGGTTTGTTTCCCTCTTTGAAAACTGCAAATGAGCAAAGAGCTCTTGCATTTCTTTAATTTTTAAATATGGCCCTTAAAAAGTCAGTTTTAATTTACCTGGAAAAATTACTTTTTTTATTTTAAGATTTTATTATTTATCCGTCAGAGAGAGCGCATAAGCAGGTAAAGTGGCAGGCAGAGGCAGAGAGAGAAGCAGGCTCCCTGTTGAGCAAACTGCCTGATGTGGGACTTGATCCCAGGACCCTAGGATCATGACCTGAGCTGAGGCAGCTGCCTAATCAACTGAGCCACCCAGGCGTCCCGAAAATTACTTTTGTATAACATCTTACTCTCAAATAATACTGAATAAACAAGGTGATACCACAGATATATAACCTTTTATTGTGCTGGTAAACAATAAGCCTTGATACTTTTTCCAGTATACAAGAAAATGTGATGAAAAAATACCTGATGAATGGGAAGAATGCAAATCCTGAATTGGGTGGGCTTGTATATCATGTAAACAACCAGAAACTCTTCTATTCTTCATCAAGCTCCTGCTCCTAAAAAAAGATAAACCATAAGATCAGTGGTTATATATTACATGGAATAAGAGTATTAAGAACATTCTTGGAGCACCTGGGGGGCTCAATCAGTTAAACGGCTACCTTCAGCTCAGATCATGATCATGATCCCAGAGTCCTGGGATGGAGCCCCAAACAGGGCTCCCTGCTCAGTGAAGAGTCTGTTTCTCCTTCTCCTTCTCCCCCAACTCACATGCATGGTCTCTCTCTTTCTTTCAAATAAATAAATAAATAAATCTTTAAAAAAATATTCTTGGGGCACCTGGGTAGCTCAGTCGGTTAAGCATCTGCCTTCAGCTCAGGTCATCATCCCAGGGTCCTGGGTTCGAGTCCCGCACTGCGTTCCCTGCTCAGCAGGGAGCCTGCTTCTCTTTCTCCCTTTGCCCTGCCCCCCGACTTGTGCTCTCTCTCTCTCTCCTGCTCTCTCTTAAATTAATAAATAAAATCTCAAACAAAATATTCTTAATTCTCTAAAGAAAATGGGTATGCGCAGTGTGTGTTTCCTGCGGAAACATTTTCATCAATAAATAGTTAAATTCATTTGGTTTACGAAGCAAGAACTTTACTATTTATAGGTATCGTTCTAAGCATATAATTAAATTAAGTAAATGGAATACATATTTATAGAGTACTCCTATTTACAGGTTCTAAATACTGTGTTTAAACACAGGAAACATGGTTTTTGGGCTCATGAACTTAAGGTCCATAGGAAAAGAGAGAAATTAGGCAAATAATTACAATACAGTGATGTGCCATGCAAGCAGAGCATGCTCTGCTGGAGAAGGACTTGACCTGGCCCAAGGAGTCAGTGGGGAGGGGGGAGGGGGCTCCTGGGACAATGACCCTGAAGGACGCACAGGAGTTAGCCCAACAGGGAGGCAGGCTTGGGAAGGAGGGAACAGTGGTTCAGACACAGGCACCAGGATGTGGGAAGCCCCGGTGATCAGAGAAAAGTATGGTGCATTCAAGGACAGAGTGAGATTCAGAAGGACTGCAGTAGGACAGCGGAGAGGAGCAAGGGGGGACGCTAGGGGGTGCTAAGATGCCAGCTTGAGGCTGACCCTAATGCCAATCAAGGAAGCTTGGATTTTATGCTGAGATTCGCCTGGTGAGTATTCTAAACAAGGAGATGATCTACATAAAAAAACATTCAAGTAAGCACCTGCTACACAGTGTGAAAAGCAGAAAGCCTGTGAAGTGTAGCAGTAACACAAACGGAGGGAATGACTCTATCTTCACTCTCTCTTTCCGCTGCCTCTTTCCCTTCAGCCTATAAAACCACTCAGATCTCTGCCTGGAGTGTGACTGGCTGTCTAGCTGTTACTCATTTTTCTTAACTGCTACTGGAAAAAGCAGCCTACTTCCACATTGCCATTCATCTGTCAATTTTCTAAACTCCAATTCCAGCCCTCATTGTATCAGTGAATCCTCGAGCTGTGACCTGGATCTAAATCTAGGGGATCCTCTGAAGTCTTTTTTCCTAACAGAACTCTCTACCACTGTCGGCCAAAGAAAAATACTATTTGTTGAAAAGATCATTAAACAAAAACATATTCCATCTGGAGTCATCTAAATGTTTCAAATATATTTTTCCCCATGAATTCCTACAAGAAAAACACAGAAATAAGACCCATAATGGGGAAAGGAAATATCAAACCTCAATATGACTAATAATAGGAAGAAGAAATATCAATCCTCAAAGGTAACAGTTTTTGGTATTTAGGGATGAAAGGGAAGGGTACATTACAGTAAGTCTAAACCAGGGAAATCTATTCTTCTAACACTATCATAGTTAAACAATGTTTAAACTCAAACAAAATGCCTATCACATTCCTTTCAAAGAATTTGAAGGAGAAGGAGAGGTTTTACTTTTGACTGTCCACAGAACGAATCACAATTTATAGGCATCCAAACCAGTCTATTTCATTGCAGAGCGGCTATGGCGTATCGCTGCCCGGTAACGGTTCCATAATTAAGAATCTGTCAGTGTTTCCGTTACCCGCAGGCATTCTCAGAGTTTGCAATTCTGTCATAAACATTCTTACAAGGCTGAAACTTCATATACAAGGTCTCTGACCAAGAGCAATTCATTTTTTAAGAAAAATATGATAGTTTTAAATTTTAGAAGTTTTCAAGAAAACATCTCTACCACATGAAAACACCTAATTTCAAAATATCAAAAGAAGTTTTAATTTTCTGGTAATAATTTAAACTTTTGTTGGTTCCCTAGTTATTAACCTAGAGGTTAGCAGAAAATAAGATGTAGATCACCAACTTTCAATAAGCTAAAATTTTTATGTTCATTATATATTTTTAATTAATTTCAAAAATTCAAGTATAATTAACATGTAGTGTGTTACATTAGTTTCAAGTGTACAATATAGTGAAATACAGTGATTCAACAATTCTATATATTGCTCGGTGGTCATCACAATAAACGTACCCTTAATCCCCTTCACCTTTTTCACTCATCTCGTTGCTCACTAATGTTCATTAATCATACTGTGATCCATAATTCTAAGTACACCAAGTTTGTATCTGTTTACAATAAAATACAGTAAGAAACCAATATTATAAAATCTAAAGGGATTTATGAATCACCCTCTGATGAATTTGTAGTTCTGGTCTGAATTTGGGGGAGGCTTATGTTACTTTAGGTTAGCTTACGTACCCCAAGGCCTTCTGCCCAATATGCCCCACAGGCCATCTTTAGCTCATTTTAGAGAACCCAACACTGTTCTGAAATCTTCAAGATAAATCACCTGAAGATACCACCTAAAGATATCACTGGTATTAAATCAGAAATAAGATCATCGGGGCGCCTGGGTGGCTCAGTGGGTTATAGCCTCTGCCTTCAGCTTGGGTCGTGGTCCCGGGGTCCTGGGATGGAGCCCCACATCTGGTTCTCTGTTCAGCAGGGAGCCTGCTTCTTCCTCTCTCTCTCTGCCTGCCTCTCTGCCTACTTGTGATCTCTCTCTCTCTGTCAAATAAATAAATAAAATCTTAAAAAAAAAAAAAAGAAATAAGATCATATCTGTTTTCCAAGATTTAATCTTATTTAGCACATATAAACAACCAATATTAAGAACTGTCATTTATTCAACACCTATCCACTGCGGTGGAAGTTCTACATACTTTATCTCGAATCCTTACAACTACTTCACGACATCATCATCAGTCCCACGGTGGTCATAGCAGAAGTAGCAGAAGAAGCAATTGTTTTTATATATGACCTCACTTAAACTTAGCAAGAGGCGCTGTAGAAATGTATTATTGTCTCCATCTTAGAGATGAGAAAACTGAAGCCTAAAGATGTAATGTCACTTGCCCCTGGGTACACTCGGCATAAATCACTCTATTACACACCTGAAACTAATATGATACTGTATGCTAACTATACTGGAATTGAAATTAAAAACTTAATGAAAAAAGTTAGAACCCAGGACGCTGACATGAGCCTGTGACTTTTTTATTATAGTACATTATAAGGGATACAGATATATATCCTGTGCTCAAGAAACTCAGAATCTGTTTAAAGGACATGCTTTGATTTCTTTCAACTTGAAATACACAGCTGGTATGTATATAACACATAAGATAACATGTATCGATTCTTGTTTCTTGGCTATTTCCAACTGTAGCTTAGCAGTTACCATATAGCAAATAGAAGAGAAGTAACAGGAGGAAGAAACCTCTCTAAAGTAGTTCCATCTCTTTGAAATTTTTTAAATGAGTTTAAAATAATCATAGTCAAAACCAAGAAAGTCCTGAAAAGGTCTGGAAACCCAAATGGATTCTGAGCTGCAGCTGAAGGTGATGAAGTGGGCAGGGGGAAAAAGAAATTAACCAGAAAGATTCTGTTCTTCCATATGCAACAGAGAGGCAATGTGGCACAGTGGTCAAGAAAAATCAGGATCTTCAGAGTCACTCAAATGTGGATTTGAGGGCCGGCTCTTCCTTTATCAGCTCTGTGAGTTTGGACAACTTATAACCTCTTTAAACCTTCAGCCTCTTCATCTGTAAAAGGTGGGTAATGACAGCACTGATCTTGTAGTTTTGTGTAAGAACCACCTGAGAGAATACTCAGCAAGCACTAAGTAAATGTTCTTGATAATGATGATGCTTCTGTTGAATGGAGAATGCCATGGACTCTAACATCCTGAAAATTCTCAAATCCTTCCTTCCGTGTTCCAGAGCTGAATGTATACACTTGTATGCTCCCTGGGAATCTCAAACTCATTGTGTTCAAAAATAAGTTAATCTGACCCTCCATGTCTGGGAACACCACCTTCCTTTAGCCAGTTACCCCTGTTAGACCAGGATTCATCCTTGAGCCCTTTATCACCCTCAATCCCACAGCTAGCCAAGTCCTTATTCAATCTTCCTCTTGAATATGTATAAAACCATACTTTCCTCTCCACTCCTTCTGCCTGACCTGATTCTGGGTCTTTATCAACTGTTCTTCTAGTCTCTTCAATTACTGGTCTTTGGGGACAGAGAGTATTTTTTTATTCATCTTTGTATCCTCAAGACATAGCAGACAGTAGTCTTGTTTAAAAACCAAATGAAGAAGTATTTGTTTAAAAAGAAGTCTTTGTTTAAAAACCAAACTAAGCAGCTAAATTGGTTCCAAGACCACGACCATTCTATTATACCATTTTGCTCCTCTGGTATCTAAGCATCTGAGGTCTAAACAGAACTAGTTTTTCCTTGAAAAACATCTATTCACTGTGGAAGTCTTTTATGGTTTTAGTTAATAAGCAGCATTTGTCACATATAGAAGTTCTCTATCACCACATTTATTCTTCTGTGGTGCTCATACTAACTTGACAGCATTTAAAGTTCTATAACTTACAATAAAATATCATAGAATATGCCAAGTTCTTGAAAAAAAGGGTAATTTAAAAGTAATAAACACTATTCATTTTTATAGGAAATTAGATTTATTCTATTCTAAGTCACTCTTAAGACTTACATGGTGAGATGCTGACCATTTTTTCCCCGTTCTTACTGACTGATAAACAATTTAATGCCCCAAGTGCTGTAATTTGATCACTAACATATTATTTCTCTTATATTACTCAGTCTCTGCACAGACATATCCATTATGACAGTAGATAGTTCCTTTAAAATAAGGAAATATCTTTCTTTCTTTCTATCTACAAATATATACCCAGAACAACAACAACAAAAAACAGTAACAAAATGTCTTTACCTCCTTCTAGAAAAGGAAGAAACCGGTGCATTTGTAATGTCAGGTTCCCATTCATCTTCAGGATCACAAAAGACATCGTCACTCTTGTTATTATTATTACTCTAAGGAAAATAAAATATATGGTTTCTATTAGTTTACATTAAAAAATATTTAGCAACTAGGGCATCTGGGTGGCTCATGGGATTAAGCATCTGCCTTCAGCTCAGGTCATGATCCCAGGATCCTGGGATCAAGCCTTACATTGGGCTCCCCGCTCAGCGGAGAGTCTGCTTCTCCCTTTCCCTCTGCCCCTTCACCTGCTCATGTTCTCTCTCTCTAATAAATAAATAAAATCTTTTAAAACATGTTTAGCAACTAAAAGAAAACAAAAATTTAAATTTGTTATATTTAAAATTAAAAATTACAAAATTACAGGTTATCTGACAGAAGTCTAAAAATAACACATTCCTGGGGCCCCTGGGTGGCTCAGTCAGTTAAGCATCCAACTCTTCATTTCAGCTCAGGTAATGATCTCAGTGGCCTGGGACTGAGCCCCACATTGGGCTCTGTGTTCAGCAGGAAGTCTGCTTGAGGATTCTATCACTCCCTCTCCCTGTGCCCCTCTCCCACTCAGACTCTCTCAAATAAATAAAATCTTAAAAATATCACATTCTTATCAAAAAATCAAGCACATGATGCTAGAAATTATATTGAAAGAGTGCTATCACAGAAAAAGCACAGAAATCATTAAATGATTCAAAAACATAAACTTGGGATTTAGAAGACAGTAAAAACATAAAAGATAAATCCTCAGTAGAAAAATAAAAGAATACTCTGACAACATTAAGATTCAATCACTTCCTGATTGAATATATTAATCATGATAATAACCTGAATTTTAAGTATTTAGAGTAATATTAATTAAAGTTCAAGCAAAATACTATACATATAGAACTTGATTCAGAAATCTAGTTATATAGAAAAATAAGCAAAGAACATTTCAACGGTTGAAAGTAGAAGGTAGGATAATAACAGAGGTAACTCATCTATCATATTTTAATGTATATGACAAGAATGATCAAATGACTTCAGTACAGTGTTTTTGTAAGATATTAAAAACCAATATGTGCAGGGATATTTTTAGTCCTATTAAAATAGAAAACAACTGGTAATACCAAAAAGCACAGCAATGGGAAAATATAATTATGTAAAAATACACATTATAGGCATTGAAGATAATGACAAATGATGCAAAGTGCTCTATGTCTATCAAATTTTTTCTTCTCTTAAGCTTAAATTCAAAAATTTGAAAACACACAGTGTAACTGTGGACAGATTCAGCACTAAATTTCTCTATTACAGGTATACCTATATTAAAATAAATTAATAAAACCCCATCTATCACAGGCAAAAGTAAAGTAAACATACATAATTGTTACTATTGGTTGGTTTGGGTAATGTAAATTGCCTTTTCCTTTATTTGCCAAAATTTCTTTACTAAAAACACATCACTTGTATATTTTTTATTTCAAAAACTGTACAAAGGGTTTTAATAATATTTCAAACCTCATAAAGTTCTTTCATTGCTGCAAGCTTAGATTCAAACTTTTCCAGACTCCAGAAAGTTGAGATCCCTAGTTGTAGGTTACGAACCCGAACATAAGTGTCAGAATTACTTCCTTTATCTGATACATCATGTCTGAAAGAAAGACCAAAGAAAAATGCTTATCCTAAAACATACATACCCATTTATAAGAGTTTTCTGAATTAAAACAACTTCCATAAAAATTCAGTCCACTGATTAAATCTTCCATTGTTAAGCATTTTTATTATAGTAAAAAAATCATGTCTAGTATATACTATATAAAAATAACTTATTATATAGGAATTTTTAAAATCATATTCTAATTAGGTATATTTCTTTCCAAACATGTAATATTAGTAAGTTTGCAACTCAAAAGAAAATCAGTAAATTCCTAAAACACCTAAAATTATTCTGTTTATAAAATATACTTATATTAACAAATAAGTATATTTTATAAACACACTTAGTGTATTTAGTATGGTACGCTAATTATTGAAAGTCTTTTACTCCCGAGTGAGCTCTGAAAGGGGAGTCCAAATGTGTCACTGGGAATTCTGATACTGTTTTCTCCTAGAAAGGTCATATAGATACCATGTCTTTGCAGAAACTAAATTTAGAAAGCAATCCTATGAAGGTCAGTTAGTTTAAAACAAAGAACTACTTTATAATTAGGTTAAGAAATTGCTCACCTGCCAAAAACATAACATTTTTTAAATTTGTGGCTGATGGCATTGGCTTCCTGAATCATCATTGAGAGTTTCAAGGAGCTCCAATTTGTCTGAACTAATAGAAAACATACAGAGATGATCAAAAAACACATATGAGCCCTGACTTATATTGCTAAGCAGAACTCCTGAAAAAAAAAAATTGATTTTAAATAAATGGTTTTAACTATTACAGAAAGTAAGGGCAATGTTTGAGTAACTTTTCCTTAAGCCTGAACTAAAGTATTATTCATAGAAAATGATGTCTTTCACCTATGGAGACACAGAAAAAAACTGAAAGTGATATAGAAAGTTGATATAGAAAAGATTTCATAAGAGAGGAAATGCCAAAGACAATGCTTTGTCTTCTAATATCTTTAAAGATTTTTTTTCTGATTTATTTATTTTTTTTTTAAGGAGTCATCTATCATCCAACCCAATGTGTACATTAAGTAAGATACTGGTTCTCAAAATTTTTTTTTATTTTTTTAAAGATTATTTATTTATTTATTTCACAGAGAGCAAGATCACAAGCGGGCAGAGAGAGATAGGGAAGCAGACTTCCCGCTGAGCAGATAGCCTAATGCGGGGCTCGATCCCAGGATCCTAAGATCATGACCTGAGCCAAAGGCAGAGGCTTAACCCACTGAGCCACCCAAGCACCCCTCTGATTTTTTTTTTTTTTTTAATTTCTAATGTGTTTAAAGTATTGGGTAAAGCATACTACAGCCTTACTTATATAAAACCACAATCTTTCTTTATTTTGCCTGAAAATTTAAACGAACATATATTTCAGGATATCAAAACAAAAAATGGAAATAATGTAGGCCACAATTCCATTTTCCTAATTTAAAATTAAGATTTTATCATAAATATTTTCTTCACCCAAACTTATCACCAATCTTCCATTAGAACACTTTTTTGAAAGGATAAAATTCATTATATACATGGTAAAAAAGTCAGGTATTCATTGCAAGGTCTTGTTTTTAGGCTCTAAGAAGAATAAAAAGATGTATTAGTCAATGTATTTATTTACTTCTCACAACAGATATAACAAGCATTAATAGTTTCAAATGTATTTCAAAATAGAAGCTATAGAAAATATACAATACAACTACCAGGTAATTCTTGCTAAAAAATTGAATCTGAATCTGATAGGCCTGAAGAAATAGCCACCATTGTATAGGGAATACAGGGGAAGAGGAACCTGTTAAGCAACACCATGGAAATACAAGAGCAAGATCCAGAATGTAGGAAACTACAGGATAAATAACCTGATTTTTTCAAAAAGCAAATTACAAGGAGAAAGAGACAAGTAAAGCAAATTTATAGGTTAAGAGACTTAAAAAGGGGCACCTGGGTGGCTCAGCCCATTAAGCATCCCACTCTCGGTTTTGGCTCAGGTGATGATCTCATGGGTCATGGATCCGTCGCTTTGGGCTCTGCACTCAGCAGGGAGTCTGCTTAGGCATTCTGTCCCTCTGTCCCTCCCTCTACTCACATGTGCTCTTACTCTCTCTTTAAAATAAATAAATAAATAAATAAATAAATCCTTTTTTTTTTTTTTTTTTAAATGGGGGTGCCTGGCTGGCTCAGTAGGTAGAGCATGTGACTCTTGATCTCAGGGTTGTGAGTTCAAGCCCCACTTTGGACGTGGAGACTACTTAATAAAAATGAAAAATAAATGTAAATAAAAGAGACTTGGGGCACCAGGTGACTCAGTCGGTTAAGCATGTCTGACTCTTGATTTTGGCTCGGGTTGTGATCTCAGAGGCCTGAGATTGAGCCATGAGTCAAGCTCTGGTTCAGCTCAGAGTGTGCTTGATATTCTCTCTCTCCCTCTGCCCCGTCCCCCACACCAGCTCACGCATTCTCCCTCTCTCTCTAAAAAAAAATAATAAATCTTAAAAAATAATAAAAATAAAATAAGACTTACAAAGCATATCTAACAAACACAATGTGTGGGGATCATGTTTGTATCTTGATTCAAACAAACAAGACATAAAAAAAAAAATTATGACACAATCCAGGAAATTTGAATGTAGACTAGAAATCTAATGAGTAAAAGAAATTTTTTTTTAAAGATTTTATTCATTTTTTTGACAGATCACAAGTAGACAGAGAGGCAAGCAAGAGAGAGAGGAGGAAGCAGGCTCCCCACTGAGCAGAGAGCTTGATGTGGGGCTCGATCCCAGGACTCTGGGATCATGACCTGAGCCAAAGGCAGAGGTTTAACCCACTGAGCCACCCAAATTTTAGGTTTGCTAACAATATCATGGTTATGCTTAAAGAGTGACAAAGAAAGAGAGAAGAAAGTCCTTATCTAATGCAGAGATATATAGTGAAGTATTTACAGATCAAATGGAATGATGTCTTGGAGTTGCTTCACAACAATCCAGGGAGGCAGGCGGGCTACGTACAGCCAGAACAAGACCAAACATGTGTTAGAAACTGCTGATGTTGGATGATAAATATATGAGTCTGTTGTAGCAATCTCTCTACTTTTATAAATTGTTTGAAATTTTCCATAATGAGAAAAAGTCATTGAAAACATGCCATGTTCCAGACAGCAATGTAGAAGCATACGCAAAAAATAAGATTCAAGTGAAAAAGAGGAAGTACCCAATGCCCAGTCTAGATGTAAGACCTAAAAAATTAGAATAAGAGATTGCATTTTTAGGGGCGCCTGGGTGGCTCAGTCATTAAGCATCTGCCTTTGGCTCAGGTTATGATCCCCGGGTCTTGGGATTGAGCCCCACATCGGGCTCTCTGCTCAGCAGGAAGCCTGCTTCTCCCTCTCCCACTCCCTCTGCTTGTGTTCCCTCTCTCACTGTCTCTCTCTGTCAAATAAATAAAATCTAAAAAAAAAAAAAAAAAAAAAGAGATTGCACTTTTAAAGACACGTTACACATTAAAGTATCACTTGAAATTTTATTTACTATTTGCTTATGTAACTAAATATTCTAAAATGCCCGCTAAAATCATCATATACTCACTTAAAAAAGTTTTATCTCTATTACTTTGATTTTGCTGCAGTATTTGTACTTCTTTAGCAATTTTTTGCTTCTCAGTTTCTAAAGCTTCCAGAATTCTTGCATGGCGGATGCTATGATCTTCTAAAGCCTAATTGATAGTCATTCACATAGACCGATACATGAAAATACACAAAGAGAGAAATTATAATTGATAACATAACACAGCATAATTGAATTTCACTTTACAGTATGTTTTATTAAGTATACATGTTTTACAAGTTTTATTAAGCATAAAAGGCCTTTAAAAAGTGATTTATAAAATATCTGTATAAAATTTGACTCCATAACAAAATCATTAGAATTTTTTATGACATAAATTAATCTTATTCTTCCCATTGATAGGAAGTAAAAAAAAAACCTTTTGGGGAGAAAAAACTGCTCAGAAGAGCCCACATTCAAGAACATTTGTTGACCAAATAAATTTAAATTTAAAAGATACCACAAAAACCTTATTTGCCACAAATACTTTATAACAGCCCATTAATAATCACTGTTTTCAAGATTTAAACAGTTGTTTTTTCTTCTAAAATTCTCAGGTGGTTCACTAGCTACTTTGTGTCCTAGAATTGACTAGTCACACGTTATCACTGTATTATAGTATCAGAACTTTTGGGTTACTAGAGGTATTTTCTTCTACCAACGCTCTCACTATATAACTTAGAAAAAAGAAAAAGAAAATTGCTATTCAAGGACAAATTTTGAGACTAAGATGTAAGGAATCAAAGCAGAGATGGAAAACCATGCTGCTCAAACTTTAGTATTTGTCAAAATTCCATGCAAAACTTGTTAGAATGGTTCTGGGCCTCACCTCCAGAGTTTCTAATTTTAGGAGTTTTGGGGCCTAAGATGCATTTCTAACAGTAATGCTGATGTTGCTGGACTAAAGACCATATTTTAACAACCACTAACATAAGGAGAAAGAATACTTCACATGGTTGATAAAAAGGGAACTCACGATATTAAAATACTGACAGTCTGGTTTTATACTGCAGTCTTCAGAACTTGATTAATATGAGTCAGCCCTAAAGATGTCTCTGCTCTCACTGAGTCAATAAAAGCTTCAGGGCCTGAGCTCGTATGACTGGGGTTATGGACTCCCTCCTGTGAGTTCTCTTAGGAGTCACTCAGGCAAGTAGACTGCTGGTCACACTTTCCACGGATGGATAATGCTTCATTCTGACATGAGGATACAATCCAGTGTAAGAGCTGTGCCTTTCTTCCTTCTACACATTGAACCCTAGCACTATTTCATTCATTTACATTATTTGGGCTGATGGATCACAGGATAATTGTGGAGGCATAAAAAGGGAAAGCTGTAATGGAACCAGCTCAAAATAAGAGCTCTGTTTCTTTCAAAATGTTTGTGTGATGATGTGTGAGCAGAGCTGTGAGCATTACCAGGTTGTAAGCTTTCAGGCAAGAAGAGCCCTTTTCATTAAAAAAAAAAAAAGAAAGAAAGAAAATCAAACAAAATGATCTCAATCCCCCCCCCCCCCCCCCAAAAAAGAGAAAGAAAAAAGAAGAAAAAGTAGAGCCCTTCTCATCAGGAGACCCAGATTCAGCCATCTCCTCTTAGGTACCGTGAGTTCATTTAAAAAAAAGAAAAAATTCCAGCTGTTGCTCAGAACAGAGCCAACTACTTATAAAATGAAATTACCTGTTTTGCAGCCAAAGTCTCCATTTCTAATCGCTTTTTGTTGACATAGATTTCCTGCTCAAGTTGCTGTTTTGCCTTTTCTAATTCCTCAATTTTGTCATTAGCCTTTTGGTTATTTATTTCCTGCATTTTCTTCCTTTGAGCCTCTTCCTTCTTTAAAGAACAATAAAAAAAAGTAATGGGCAAAAACACATAATATTTTTTCAAAAACAATATAAAAAATGTACAAGAGTCCATTTCTTTAATCAATGTATAAGAAATTGACTCCTCAATAGAAAAGTTGCCCTGTAGTTTTTCTCTCATTCAGCTTGATTAATCTAACTTAAAATAAGTATCACCAGTCAAACCTTCTAGAGCACTCTCCTCTAAAATGGGTTGTGGGAATGCAAGATGACCAAGAAACCAGAGAGAGAGCCATGGGCTCAAGTAGGTAGAAGACAGAAGCTTCTCTATTTTTCTTCTTCTTCCAACAGCTGTCTACTACTAACTTGCTTCCTGAAGTAAAATTAAAGAAGGCTGAGACTCACTTGGCTTTGACTCTCTAGTCTTTGATATTCCCTCAGTTTCCTTCTAGGGATATACTCAATTTTATAGGCAATATATCACTTAGGGCGCACAAGCAGAGAAAGAAAAAAACAGTTCTGCCTTTTACCAGTTCTGCTTCCAATGCTTTTATTTTGCTTTCATATGCAGCTTTTTGAGAAGAAAGCTCTTGTTGAGCCATTTTTTTTGCAATTTGGATTCCTTGCATCATTTCTTCCTTTGCTTTCAATTGTGCCTCTTTTATTTCTGCTTCAAGTCTACAAAGTAGCAAAACAGTCACAGGACACATAGTCAAGAATCCTTTATATACCATAGTAGTTCTTAATCATATTAAAATGTTTTCTTTAAACAAAAATTTCAAACTCATCATTAATATTCTGACACTCTGTCAACAGTGTTCTTAAATTTTTATTGCTTTTAGAATGCCTTATGCAAAACAATATAAAAGGATGAAAATTTATTTATTTCTTAGTTACCATAGCATTTAAGTAAATATATTTTTCTAATCTTTTTTTTTAAAGATTTTATCCATCTGAGATAGAGTGAGAGAAAGAGCACAAGCATGGCAAAAGGGCAGAGAGAGAGGGAGAAGCAGGTTCCCTGAGGAGCAGGGAGCCCAACGAGGGCTTGATCCCAGGACCCAGAGACCATGAACTGAGCCAAAGGCAGACACATAACCTAATGAGTCACCCAGGTGTCCCTGTATTTTCTAATCTTAAGGAAAATAAGTTATATAAAAATATAAAAATATGATGTCATAGTGAATGTTGTAGTAAACATAGTTGACATTAGTAAATATATAGTTGACATTGTAGTAAACAATATAGTTGACATTATAGATAACACAAAATAAAGGTTTGTTTTGTTTTGTTTTGTTTTTGAGAGAGAGCGAAAGAGCACACGCATGCATGCGCACAGTGCGGTAGGGGCTGAGGGAGAGAGTGAGAGAAAATGTCAAGTGGACTCCGACTGACCCAGAGCCCAACACGGGGCTCAGTCTCATAACCCTGAGGTCATAACCTGAGCTAAAATCAAGAGTTAGATGCTTAACCAATTAAGCCACCCAGATGCCCCCAAATAAGGGTATTTTATGATTAACAATAATTAGAGCAAAAATTATATTTCATATATCAATAACTTTTAATTCACGTTTAGGTCACAGGTTAGGGAAAACATTGAAATAACTCTAAAAATGTTATGAGAGCTAATAAAATAGGTTGTATATTTTCAACCATCTATAAAAATTTGACATTTAGTAAGTTAAAACATTAAATTAGCTTTGTCATCTTTCAATATACAAGGGAAAAGCATCAAGGAGTATAAAAAACTGAAAGCTTCTTTCTTCTCAGTAAAATCAACGCTCTAGAGGCACCTGAGTGGCTCAGTCAGTAAAGCATCGCTTTGGCTCGGGTCATGATCCCAGGGTCCTGGGATGGAGCCCCACGCCAGACTCCCTGCTCAGTGGGGGGCCTGCTTCTCCTTCTTGCTTGTTTTCTCTCTTGCTGTCTCTGTCTCTTTCTCACAAATAAATAAATAAAATCTTTAAAAAAAAATCAATGCTTCAGCAACTACATTGTATAGAAATTTCCATTCTCAATTTCACTGAAAAAAGAACTATCAAAAGAAGGAAGGCTAACGGTAACCAGGGCCTAGGGGGTAGGACAACAAGAAGAGGGATTATGGGGAGTCACAGCTGAATGGCAACAGAGTTTCAGTTTGGGAAGATAAAAAAGTTCTGGAGATGAATAGTTTGATGGTTGTACACACTGTCAATATACTTAATATCTTTGAGATGTATATTTTAAAATGGTTAAAATAGTGAATTTTATGTTACATATATTGTACCACAATTTTTTTAAAAAACACCAGAAGCAAGTTCAGAATTTTTAAAAGATAAAATAGGATTAGCCCAGTCCATACTAGTCATTCTGATTCCTCATCCCTTCATCCTCTTTGGTTGTCAAGTGTGGTTGATTCTTTCTCCGTAATACTCTCTCCGACCCAACCACGCTGTACTTCTACTTCAACAATCTCTGAACGGCATTTGCAAGCTATACTTGCTCCGCCTCTCTTCTGTTCTCCGGACTTGGGTCATGGTGAGCTCTAAAACTGCGATTCTGTCAGGTCTCTCTCTTGACTGACTAAAATTTTTAATGATTCTGTATCCTTTAAGATAAAGTCCTAACTCTTTACATATACTTTACCAATTAATTGGTAAAGGATATAACTTAAATCAGAAATTCTACAATATTGCATGAGCTAAAAATGGGGCAAAGAAAACAAAAAGTTTACACACCCCTGTTCTGCTGGCTAACTGCTAACAGCTTCTTGGGACTCCATTCCAGGGGAGGTCTTCTTGTCCCTTAGAAAACTTTGCTGATTCCTGGTTGGGCCTACGAGTCACCCCTCACTCTATAAACCACACATAGTGCAGGACTCTGTCATGGTACTCTGGTACAACTACGTGTCAGCCCCACGAGATGATAAATTCCTCCAGTATAGTAGCTAAATTTCAGTTATTCTTTGTATTTCTAGTATAGTGACAGATACATAATATCTGCTCAATTAATGTCTGCTGAATGAATGAATGTACCAAGAGAAAAGATCACGTCACTAGACACTAGCACCCAAAGAATTAACTGGCGGAGACTAGCACAATATGATGAACTCTTTCTTGTAGACCTCTCTCATATTCTTACTATTTCATATCAACAAGAATACTTACTGTGATCTCTGTGCAATGAGCAACTCATTTTTTGCAAATTCAAAGTCTTTTGGACCCTCGTTTATAAGAGTATCTCTACCGGATGGTCTTTTTCCTTTCTGGACTTCTATTGGATGATTAAATCTAAAATAATGATCTCCACCAAGAATCACCCGATCACCCTAAAGCACACAAAAAATGTACTACTTGAGGTGAGTCTGAATCAAAAACTTACATGGGACAAATAATTAAGCTCAGCAATTCAATACAGTCTAATATTAGTAATAATAAACATTAAAAATCATAGCAACTAACATTTATTAAATATTTTCTATACGCCAATCTCTGTGTTAAACACTTTATATATATGTGATCTTATTTATATCTCACAACAACCCAGTGAGATAAGACTATTATCCAGATTTTAGGAATGAGGAAGCTAAAGACCACAGAGCTTAATAATAAAAAAAGGCATTCACTGAGCTTACAATTTGCAGACATTGTGTTAAGAACTATAGACAGATTATTTCATTTAATCCTCCCCTGCCCCTGAAAAGTAGGATATGTATGAAGTGACCAACAGTCTTGGTTTGCTTGCAACAGACTCATTTTTGCCTGTTCTCCCAATGTAATTTTTTTTAAAGTTTTATTTATTTAAGTAATCTCTACACCCAGCATGGGGCTCAAACTCAAGACCACAAGATCAAGAGTTGCATGCTTTTCCAACTGAGCCAGCCAGGTGCCCTTCTCCCAATATAATTATTACAAATGCTCTCAACAGTATCCTGACTTCAGTGAAATACAATCACCCTAATTAAATAACTTTTTTCAAAAGTCACATAGCAAATAACTGGGGCTTACTTCCAAGGCTCAGCTCTTTACTGGACATGTAATGGTGCTGTCAGTGGTCAGTTCTTCAATACTGGTTTATAGTGATTTACCTTTTATCTTTGCATGAATGAAGGTAATTAATGAATTAATAGAAAAGAGAATTTTAGAACTGTAAAGTCTTTAATCTAGTTCACTACCTTATCTTACAGAGGAAAAAACTGAGACTCACACAAATTAAACAACTTGCTCAAAGTCAAACAATTTGTTAGATTTTAGCACTGGCTAACTTACATGATGTAATACTGTGGATTCCAAAATGTGTTTTCCATTTATATATGTCTTTGCTTCTCCAACTGGGATGATACTCACTATTCCATCAAAATTTTTTATAGTACTGTTAAGATAAGAAGTACATTGTTATAATTACAGCACAGACAAAAAAGAAAAAGGCAATACAAGATAATCCTGCTGAGATTATTCCTTTGCTGTTAAGATTCATATCAATTTGTGACAAAAATAACTTAAAATTCTTTTATTTTCCTCCAACACATTTTGAAGTTTTGGCGAAAAAAGCCTGAGCAACTCCAACCATCAGTGGTGGAAAGGATTTTCATTGTATGTATTTTAACTATAACTATTAAAAAAAAAAAAATACCAACCTTCTCCTCAAAAATAAAATAAAATGAAATTAATTCAAGGAAAAAACATTAGAATATTGACAATGGTTACCTATGAATGAAACACTTTTAAGTGTTTTATTTTTTAATTTCTGGTTTTATGCATGAGTTTTAAAGATGAAGAGAAAAACAAACATTTTCCTCTCATGAAAAGTAGGGTAATATAGAAGAAGGAAAAGCATGGAGATAAAAACACACTCCTTAGTCGTCTAATTAGCTAGACCCTGACACCATGAAAATCAGCTATAAATGCTACACATTCCTTAAAGTCTTTTTATTTCAAAAATAGGAAAGGCAGGGGCGCCTGGGTGTCTCAGTGGGTTAAAGCCTCTGCCTTCGGCTCAGGTTCTGGGATCAAGCCCCGAATCAGGCTCTCTGCTCAGCAGGGAGCCTGCTTCCTCCTCTCTCTCCGACTGCTTCTGATCTCTGTCTGTCAAATAAAAATATAAAATCTTAAAAAAAAAAAAAAAAAAAAGAATAGGAAAGACACTCCAAAGTCCAATTCATCTTTAGATTAACTTAACAGAGAGAGAAAAAGCTACAGAAAAAGCTGAGTCCCAACCCAAAACCTTTAGCTGTTAATTAGGCTCCAAGATCTATAATTAAAGAGTAATGGTTCAGTTGTAGCACCTAGAGAAAACAATCTGGAAAGACTAGCTCACCCCTTGGCAGTACGAACCTCCCACCAGTCTAGTCTTTTAACCAGGTAAAGGTTTCAACAGGATCTACTTGTTCTGATTCTTTCTCTCTCCTAGGTCTATCAGAACTCCTTGGCGTGGCGTTCTGAAACATCCATGATCTGGCTTCACCACCAACATTCTTTTTTTTTTTTTTTTTAAAGATTTTATTTATTTGACAGAGATCACAAATAGGCAGAGAGGCGGGCACAGAAAGAGAGAGAGAGAGAGAGAGAGAGAGAGAGGAGGAAACAGGCTCCCTGCTAAGCAGAGAGCCTGATGAGGGGCTCGATCCCAGGACCCTGGGATCATGACCTGAGCCTAAGGCAGAGGCTTTAACCCACTGAGCCACCCAGGTGCCCCAATAAATAAAATCTTTAAAAAAAAAAAAAAAAAAAGATACTTCACAGCAGTAAAAATTAAAAAAACATCAAAATGAATGAATCTTGAAAACACAATGTGGAGCCAAAGCAGTTTGTATATACTATCATCCCAACAATATGTATATAATCATTCAATTTATATGAACAAAATTCACATGAAACAAAAAGTTTTTAAATTTGTCAATCCAAACAAAAATCCTGCCATATGAGATGGACAGAAGTTTAATTTCATGCCAGTAATTATAATTCTAAGAAAAGAAATGATCCCTTGGGGCGCCTGGGTGGCTCAGTCGTTAAGCGTCTGCCTTCAGCTCAGGTCATGATCCCAGAGTCCCGGGATCGAGCCCAGAATCAGGCTCCCTGCTCAGTGGGAAACCTGCTTCTCCCTCTCCCACTCCTCTGCTGTGTTCCCTCTCTTTCTGTGTCTCTCTCTGTCAAATAAATAAATAAAATCTTTAAAAAAAAATTTTTTTTTCTAGAGTATTTGCAAAAAAAGGTGTGACATTTAAAAAAATCAAATCAAATCAAATCAAAAATCAAAATAAAAAAAATCATCCCTCAACCAACAGATCACATACACCAAAACAGAAATACCATTACACTATACCTCATATTGATAGTAATTAACCTATCTTCCTTACAAGACACTCAGAATGTCTGTTTTTCCTGGCTACAAGATGCATTTGAAGGATTATACCAAAGAATCAATGAAAATGAATGCCTCATGTGAAGGAAACCATACACATCAAGATATGGAAGCCTACTAAAAAAATGAACAGGAGCCTTTTTTATCTAGAAGAATAACATACCAATGATCATCAGCAATTAGCACCCCAGATAATTGAATGTCATGGCTTGAGTTTGGTTTATACTTTCCCACTGTTGTCGTTCCTTCTTTTATCATATATAACAGCATCTCCGATAGTTGAGGATCTTCATTGAGATTGACGAGGTTTGGCAAATGGTTGTCCATTTGAAATGTAATTCCTGCTTTCTAGTGGAAGTCAGAAAATAAATTAACATTAGCAAAAAGCAGCAAATTACTAAATCCCCCCAAAAAAGTGGTCTACGTTAAATATAAAAATTGCTGGATGTGAAGTCTCAGTAAAGGTTTCTTAGAATCTCTCTTTCATGGTTCCCCCGTGACTGTTACCATCACACATCTTAGACTTTCAGAGTTATGTTGGCCTTTCTTTGACCTTCACCATCCTGAGCCCTCTCATGCATCAATCTGTCACCCTCAAACTGTGCCTTTTCTTACTGACTGATTGTCTTTAGAATGGATCAGTCCCTTTTGTTGCATCTTTGCTATCCTCACCTTAGTTCAGACCCTTATTACCTCATACTTGAACTACGGCAGCAGCTGCCTGATTGCCCTGTCAACAATTTCTCTTGTTTTCAGTTCATCTTACATCCTATGCTAAATCAATTCTCCTGAAAGGGTATTCTCAAAATGTCAACACCCCAGTCAAACATTCTCAATCACTTCCCACTTCCTACAAGATAAAAGTCAAATTACTTAGCCTGAAAATCAATAAACTAACCATAACATATCCTGCCCATTTTATCTCCTTATGACCGCATACAAACTGCCGCTCCAATAAAACTGATCCACACACCTTCTTCTGAGCACACCTTCAACTTTTGTACCTTTACTCTCATACAATTTTCCTTTCCTAGAATGCACTCTTCCTTTTTTCTACCTAACAAAATCTTACCCAGGCTTCAAAGCCAAATTTTCAAAACTCAAATCTCGCCTCTTCAGTGAAGCTGGACTCACCACTCCCAAGGAATATTCTCCCCTTCCTCCCGATTCTTACAGTTCTCTGCCTACCAGTCATTTGAAATATTTTCTTTACAGCCAATACCTTTGCCCTTGACCCATACTCTCCAATCTCTTTTAGAACCTCATTCCATTAAGGAGTTTTGATTCCTATAAAAAAGTCCAAGTGTCTTCCCTCCTTTAAAGAAACAAAACCAAAATGAACAAACAGAACTTCTCCAGTCACAGCCCCTTTCTCTGACTTCTCACTCAAGGTTTTCAGTGTTTACCTATACTGCCCTATCTCCTTAGTCACTCCTCAACCCATTGTCATCTGGCTTCTTTTACCACTACAGTGACTTCATGATTTTACAGTGCAATGCACCCATCTCAGAAACCTGGGCATCATTCTTGACTTTTCCATTTTTTCAGCATACACACACATCCAAAACACACTCTGAGTCTATGAATTGTACCTCCTTTCTATCTTTTGAACCCAACTCTTCCACTAGCCATTCCCACTGCCGCTGCCTTACTCGAGCTCTCACCACCTCTTACCTTCACCCTGGTAACAGCCTCCTAGATGAATAACCTTCCCAGCCAGCATGAGTCTTTCCTCCCTCAAATCCACCATTACCAGAAGACCCTATTTAAAACAGAAGTCTGCTCATGTCACTTCCTTTCCATTTAAAACACTTCAGTGGCTCCCTGTCACCTAAATTCAAGTTCCTCACTATGTCATGATCTGAATCTTGCATTACTCTCCAGTCCAATCTCTGTCACCAGCATTAATATACAAGTTCTGAATTCTGTGGACATCCAAGCTATGTTGTCCTTCCATGCTTCTGAACATGGGATTCCTTGCTTAGAAATCTTGACTTTGCAGGGCACCTGGGTGGCTCAGTGGGTTAGCCTCTGCCTTCCGCTCAGGTCATGATCTCAGGATCCTGGGATGGAGCCCCGCATTGGGTTCTCTGCTCAGCGGGAAGCCTGCTTCCCCTTCTCTCTCTGCCTGCTGCTCTGCCTACTTCTGATCTCTCTCTGTCAAATAAATGAGATCTTTAAAAACATAAAAAATTTAAAAAAAAAAATTAAAAAAAAAAAAGAAATCTTGACTTTGGTAGCCTAACAAAATCTTGCTTAGTTGTCCTTTTCTCTTTGAAGTCCTCCTTAACAACCACCCTCATCAAAGTTAATTACTCCCTCCTGTCTCCTGCTTCTCTTCCTTTTACATGCTTTTCATTGCCTTAGGTTGAACCGTATGACACTGCCATGTTCATTTCTTACCTAAAAAATGGCAGTATCATATGGTTCAACCTAGTCAGATCACACTGCCTTTCAGTCATCTATTTACACTGTAAACCTCCCTTTAGATTACATGCTCTTTGAGGGCCAAAACTACATTTTATTCACCTTGGCCTCCCCCTGGCCTGGCACAGAAAAAAACATTTAATATTTGTTGAATTGAAGTGAACAGAATTAGATGGTTTGTTTATATTTTAATTTTCCAACATAGCTATGGGCTCTAAGTATATCAGAGTCTTGATCTCAACACTTTCTTATACTATTTCTCTTTATGGTATTGCTTGCCATATAGAGTCAGTATGAAATGAATATTTGAGAAATTCCATTTCCATATTTACTGTCATCTTCATTTAATTTTCAAACTTCAATAATTTTCAAATCAGTTTAGAAAGTTGAAATGATACCTGTAACGCCTTTGTTTCTTGGAGTTTTCTTCTTTCAGCTTGTTCAAATTTTTCTTTCCATGCTCTTTCCAGAGACAAACAGAATAATAGAGTTAAAAATATCCAGATGCATAAGATTGAGAATTAAAGATAATAAATAAAGATTAGGAAACCACTTAGGAATATTTAAAATATGATGGTCTGGGGATGGACTCCTCTATTCATACAGAAAGTATGAAAACAGAGCCACAGATCCTTCCTAAAGTCCTCCCTCTCCACCAATCCCAGCACCACCCATCCAGTGATTTTAGGTAACACACAGACATCTAAAATATTAACTATATTCCACCTTTGCATTTCTGCTATGTCTCTCTCCTGTTGGTGCAGTTTCATTCTTAAGGATGTTATTTCTTGCCGGCATAGCCTATATCGTTCAGGGTCAATATTTCGACTGTTCCTTTGAGCAGCTTTTAGCTTTTCAATTTCTGCTTTCAATTCTAAATATGTAAAAAGGTGCATGATTAATAACATTTGATATATAATCATTACCACAGTAGGTTTAATCCTCCAATTTTCTTATTTCAAGTTTTAAATATTACTAAATAAAATAGAATATTTACAGAAATCAGTTTTATTTTACTTACATTACCTATACATTTCTACTTAGCCTTAATCTGAAAAAGTACTCCCATCTTAATGAATTTCCCCCCTCATAAGTAGTATGGCCATATAATGTATGGTCCAAAGAGGGACACTTTTGAGAAGCACATTGTTAATCACACTAATGCAGGAGACATGAACCAGGATTGTCCCAAGGCAAACCTTATTCATAAAGACATGTTGGATAAAAATCAAAGATTTTTCAAGCTGGAGTTCAGAATACTTATTTTTAATGAAAGTAGCCCTATTTGTGAAAGAGAGGGGAATCCAAAAGGGAGACGATGGACCATGGTAACAGTAAATTCGTTCTTCTCTGTCCTGCTCCTCTGAAGTAACCATTCATCCTCTGCGGCTCAAAAGGGCCAGAGGACAAAGGACTATGAAAAGATGGTAGCTCCACATAAGCAAAGAGAAAACTGCACAAACCAAGGTTCCGTGCAGGTACTCAAGTTCATCCTAAGCAGGTGATTCCCAGGAGATACAGAAAAAGTAGTACTGAGCATAAATGAAGTTAGGCCTATGCTAGAAACTCAAGCCTTTAGATCACTATCCTTTACATCAATGAACTAAGCAGGAGTCGAACTGATAAACAGAATGACAATGGAGGAAAGGTTGTAGGAGGAAAAGTGATAAATCATGGTATTATTCTGCTGCACACATCTATGACTCAGTCTGTAAGATTATTTTTCTATGTTCACTCTTTCCCCTTTACCCACTCCCTATTTTCTTTTTCTGCTTGTTTTCCCCTTCCTAATTCTCTTTCCCATCGTCTCCACCTCTCTTCCACCATCATTGTAGAATGAGGTCTCGTGTCTAAGTAGGTATGAAAGAAAAATCTTTAATTTTCTTAAACTGCATATTTTCATGACTGAAACAATATTTGAGATTTAGCTGTTATAAAATAAATGTTTAGAGAAATCTTCACCTCTAATTAACTTAGCATTCATATCTTCATTTACTTTGGCAATATTGACTATCATACGGGCTTGGCTGGCATATCTCAGTGTGCTTAAAGTTTCTTCAATATTGTTGGCAGCGGGACTGACAGTAGCGATCATTGAAGTTTTTGAATTTCCACCCAGACTTTCTTTTAACAGCCTTCAAGGAAAATAAGTCATAATTAGACTTTGTTTCTACAACCTAATAGCAGTACTTATGTAGAAAGAACAAAACAAACTAATAGCATATATAATACAGTATTATACTTTTCACTCATATACCATTCAGGACTTTTATTTGTTTATTTTTAAAGTAACCTCTACACCCAATGTGGGGCTTGAACTCACGATCCTGAGATCAGGAGTCACATGCTCTATGGACTGAGCCCGCCATGAGCACCACCATTCAGAACTTTTGTGGTATTTGTAGTTATTTTTAGATCTCATGAACATTGTTTTCTCTTATACTTTTTATATTGTTTCATGAAACAGTAACTGGGGCAAAGATTTAAAATACAGTTAACCATCAAATATTTAGTGAGATACCACTTCCCACTCCCCAGACTAGACTGTGAGCTATACTTCAGGAAAGAAAGTATGTGTGTTGGCCATCTCTGTATTTCCAATGCTGCCACAACCCTTAGGAACAAGTGTTCAATAAATACTGAAAATGATGAATGGGCATATAAACAAAAATGTTGTTTTTTACTATACGCAAAAGCCTTCTTTTAGAGGAAAAAAGATAGTATGAGACTAAATCACTTTTCTTTATTAATGCAGAATGAATTTCACTATTCTTAGTTTCTAAAAGGCACCAAAAAAAAAAAAAAAATCAGATTTTCCCTTAAGTATTTTCTTAAATGTTGTCACTACATTCCTATAAACCAATTATAAAGACACGCAGCAATCTGGGGGCCTGGGTGGCTCAGTCGGTTAACCATCGACCCTTGATTTGGCTCTGGTCATGATCTCAGGGTCCTGAGATCAAGCCCTGCATCGGGGCTGTCAAGTAGAGAGGCAGCCCTTATCGGTATATATCAATGCTCATCACAATTGGATATTAAATCTACGCAGATGTAATTTGAATGTAATGTATCTCATTAATGAAAACATACTCATTAACAAAATGTTTATTGAACACTTAAATGCTAGTCAGTGGGTGCCACACAAAACGGTTTCACTTTGTACACACAGCAATGTGTTTGGTGGTATCATATATGCTCAAACATGAAGCACTAAAAACACTGAGGGTAGTACCAGCTGCTTATACTAATACGGCACATACTACGTGTTAAGAGTTTTATAGTAATTATTTAATCTTCACTATAACCTTACAAGGGAGGCATTGTTATTATACTCATTTTACAGGTGGAGAAACAGACTAGAACATTCAATGATTTGCCTGAAGTCGCAGAGCTTATAGGACGCAGAACCAAGATTCAATCCGCATAGTCTGGTCTTGGGAGTCACACGGCTAACCACTTCTTCTCGGTCCCAAGGCTACATGAAGTCAGTCTATCATTCTTTTCCCCAGAGTGTTCACTATGTTTTATACAATTCTTTGTACTTCCAAAGATACTTGCCATGTAAGAACAGATTCACGATAAGGAATAAAAACTCTCTTTCGGTTTGCTTGTTCAGAAAGAGCAGATATGACCTTTCCCAGCACGAGCAAAGACTTATTAATACTCCCGCCTTCCTGTGTACGAGAAAAAACATCTAATTTAAAATAACTGCTCAGGAATCCATTCATTTCACAAAATACATTCCTTCCCTCATATAATTACCAAGTCAATATTTTCTTCCATAAACTACCAACTTCCTTACAACTCAAAATTTACTAATTTTCTTTGAAAAGCAAACACGACCACAAAAGTAAAGATCTCTCTTTAAACCACAGCAGTGTCGTCTATAAACTGCAGATAGACAGTTTTTGTTTTTGTTTGTTGTTGTTAAGTATATTTAGTTTGCAAACTCCTACAAATAATGCCCTGGGGAATTAAAAGTTAATTAGGTTTCATTAAAATGAGAAAAGCCTCTTATATATTTTTTAAAGATTTTATTTATTTATTTGTTAGAGAGAGAGAGAGAGCATGAGCACAGGCAGACAGAATGGTAGGCAGAGGCAGAGGGAGAAGCAGGCTCCCCGCTGAGCAAGGAGCCCGATGTGGGACTCGATCCCAGGACGCTGGGATCATGACCTGAGCCGAAGGCAGCTGCTTAACCAACTGAGCCACCCAGGCGTCCCTATTTTTTAAAGATTGTATTTATTTGAGTAATCTCTACACCCAGCATCAGTTTGAGCTCACAACCTCGAGAACAAGAGTCACATGCTCCACTGACTGAGCCAGCCGGGTGCCCCAGAAAAGCCTCATATTTACCTTCAGTCGATCTCCACTAGTTTGAGCTGTGGAGCACCGCTCGCTGCCTGCCAGATCTATCAGGTTTATCCGACTCGTTATTCTGTGATCATGTTCTTCCCCTTCCACAGATTCCGTCTGTAGCAAAAAGACATTAAAATAATAGGTCATAAGTTCTTCCATGACTTGCTCTCAATGTAAGTCTTGAAATGGAAGGTTAGACAAGATTACAAACCACTCATTTATTTTTGAAACTGTCCTCTCACAAAAGTGTGATCATTAATAACTTATAATAAACATTCAAGAATATATGGAGCAATGCTTGCATTATGCCAAAATAAATGACTTTAAAGAGATAAAAACTCACAACTACCCAATTATATTGACAAAACAACCATAAATAGAGCAAAAGTTAATGTACAAAGGTGTTATTTATCACAGCATGAAAGAAGCAAGGTGTTTATTTATTTATTTAAGTAATCTCTCCACCCAACCCAGGGCTTGAACTCATGACCCCAAGATCAAGAATCACATGCTCTTCTGACTGAGCCAGCCAGGCATCCCAAAGGAGCAAAGCACTTAAAAGCAACATAAATGTCCAACAGCAGAGAAACTGGAATTGTTCGTGGAATATTATACAGCTATGAAAAATGATAGTTGATAAAGAATTTTAATGGCATAAAATTATTGAAGATTTTGTAAATTTGTTTAAGAGTGATTATAAAACAACTAAAATATTATATATTAAAATATTGAGAGGGGCTTTATTTGAATAGTGGAACCTATGGCTGAATTTTTAAAAATCTCTGACTTTCTGATACGTTTTTCCAAATACTGTACAAATACCATGTATTATAAACATATTATCATACATTAATATTCTTATCATATTAATATCAATGATATCATAAATAATCATACATTATTGATTTTTCAAACAGTAAAATAAAAATACTGCCATCTATACAAAAGTCATTCTGCTATTGTGTATACTAAAATCCAATTATGTTATATATTGATATTACCATACTCTTACTTTTGATTTAAAGAATAAAAAAATCAATAAAAAGAATACCTTGGTCTGGGTCATTACCAGGGTGAAAACCGAATGTGATCGGGAGCTTTTATCATTCATACCAGTAGCAGCAGTTGCCCTTTGTTTATTTCCCAATTCTAGCCAACTCTTACAAGAAAGAAGAGAGGGAGGTCAGAACAGCAAACCCAAAATTTATTGGAACAAATTAAGAAACAACAAAATTAAGTAAGTGCATTTGGCAACATATACACACTTTATAAACTGTTTATAAAATGAAATTAATAAATGTTTGTAATTTAATAATTTGTATTCCCATTTTCAACTCTGCCTCCATCACAGATACTTGAATCAGGAAATTACACCTTTAAAAGACTATTTCAATAATGCTAAGCTGCTATGATAGTCAATTTTTATTTTTACTTCAGAAGAGTAATTCCTCTGATTGAAGTTTAACAAACAAAATCAGCTCATAATGAATTAACAGGATTTACTTATGCAAGTAGCAGTTGAGAAATATTCTTATGAATATTTATGATTATGATCTTTCTATGTAGCGGAAAGAAGATAAAATACAATCAATCTTACCTGGATATCAGAGTAAGAACTGACAACATTCCTATTTTTAAAAAGGAAAAAGACAAAATTGTTTTTACTGATAATTACCTTCTTATTCTCATAAAATAATAATAATGTTTAAATTACATAATTACTTTCTGAAGACCACAACTGAATAATTCATAGATATTATTATACTGGCTCTCACACAATCTTTCACTGTCTCCATTCTTAAAGGGTAGCAAATGCTTTAATTTTACCAAAAAGTATGGTTTTTATTAATGAAGCAGTTTAGCTCTTAATATTATAATATTCAAGTCTAAATCATGAGACCAAAACCCATACTTGGCATACGTGGGGGTGGGTATGCTAGTATGTATAGGTTGCGACATAATCCCAGAATTATTAAATGGAGCCGAATCCATACCTATTCACTTTCCCTTTTCTTTAAGAAAGCATCTGGGGTATTGAAAGATAAAGTGAATGACTCTTAGCATGTTTCACACTCTTAACACTAAACTCATCTTAACACCTTCTCCTCTCTTCAGCTTAAAGTAATAGATAGAAAAAGCAGCTAGAAAGGGAAGGCTTAACTTAATGGGGAAAGGGGAAAAAGGGAGAAAAATCAAATATCTCACACACAGTATAACTAACACTCCATGCCAGGCACTTTATAGGTGCTGCAAAAGCTATAAACAAACACAAAAACAAGCAGCTAATGCTGTAGTCGGAAAGAGAGGAAAAATTAAAGGAATAATATTAAGGGTGAATGTTAAATAGTTATCCAGCGTTTCAAAGTTGGGAAGGCAAATGAGAACAACATTCGTTCTATTCATTACTTGTCTCCTCCTTGCTTTCGCTGAGCCAAACACTTACATTGACAGAGCTTCGACATACGGCCCAGAGACAGGATGCTCCCTTACTCTCAGCTAATAGAAGCAAACATTAGCATTATTAAGGGCATAACAAATATTTCATATAAAACACAATTTTAAATGGTCTTTTCTTGTGTATGTGGAGTTTAAGGCAAAGAGATTTGCCTTTACTTGACCCAGAGATAAATATAAAAGTTCTCACAAACACAAATCTGTAAGGCATTAAGATACTGCTTCAGAATCACAAACTTTTTACAAGATGCCACAGTTCACTGTAGCATCAAATATCTTACTAGTTCTTTATTCTTAAGACCTGCAGTAGCCATTATCTCTATGCTCTTAAATATCTCTTTAAAATAAAATACGTTCAGCAAATTTCAGTTAATTTTTTTCCAGCTTTACATTATGTTTTAAACTTTGTAACCAGAAATTTAAAATACATTTAAGTCAAAGAAGAAAAGCCAAGTTTAAGATTCTTGATGTTACCAACAGCATAGCCACAATGACTTTGAATGACTTGACTTTGAAAGTCAAGTGACCTCTTTTGATTTTACTTTCTTGCTCTCCAAGGTCCTTTTCAAAATTAAAAATTTTTACATTCTTTTAAAGAAAGGACTTTATTTATTTATTTGAGAGAGAGAGCATGCAAGCAAGGTAGGGGGTGAGGTGCAAAGGCAGAGTCTCCAGCAGACTCTGCTCTGCTGAGCTCAGAGCCCATTGAAGGGCTCAATCCCAAGAGATCCCATGAGATCATGACCTGAATCAAAATCAAGAGTTGGAGGCTTAATCAACTGAGCCATCCAGGTACTTCCCAAATTTTACATTTTGATAGCAGTTTTTTAAAAAAATTATGTATTTGTGGAACTTACTATTTCACAGAAAATATTATGTACAAGATACCAATTTACTAAATAACCCAGTAAGATACATATTCTATAATAACAAACAATTTTTAAACTTCTACTGCTTTTTGGCTTTAGGGATTTAGTGTTTGATTTAAGTGGTCTAACGAAATCTTGAAACATATATTTTGATACAATATTTGCTTTAAAAGAGGCTAAATTTAATAATGAATTTAATTCCCATTAGCAATAATGTTTAGTTTATTTACTATTTATTTACTCATTTAGACTGTAGATCCCAAGCATTTGCTATCATATAATAGCAATTTTAGTAAAAATGCAAGCCATATAGATCATGTTGAGTACTAGCATAACCATACGCATTTATAAAAACAAATTAAAAACAGATCATAAATTGTTTTAATCTTACTGGTTGCTTTCTCTGCCCATTTTCTCCTTTACAAACCAGAAGGTCATGAATTTTTTCATTATACACTTCAAAAAAGCTCATTTCAAGGTGGTAGCTGACCTAGTAGGACAAATAGAAACACAACATGCAACTTATTTTAAAAATCTTTGCATTTTTTGCAAATTATATATCAGATAAGGTTCTAGGATCCAGAATATATAAAGGCCTGGTTTTAAATTGGGTTGTAAGAGTCAAAGGACTTGAATTGACATTTCTCCAAAGAAGATAAGCTCTACTTACTAAGATCTCTCAAATGTTCAATCCTACAGTCACTACCTGAATCTAGCCCCTTGTCATGCCTTCCTTACAGTTTATAAGTCCCACAACTGGTCTCTTTGCATCCAGTTCTACTTCTTTTCAATCCGTTCTCCACACTGCAGCCAGAGCTATCTTTTTTTTTTTTTTTTTTTTGAAGAGCAAAGGTGATCATTTGATTTCCCTGCTTAAAATCCTTCCATAGCTTTCTAGATTCCTAGATGCAGGGGTCATAAAGTCATTCAAAAGCTGAGTTTTGCCTGCCTCTCTGGTTTCATCTCTTATCACCCTCTACTCTCAAATTCCATGCTTAAAGCAAAGTAAACAATTTATAGATTCCCAAAGGCTCCCTACTTTCTTGCTTTCAAAGCTTTGCACATGCTGCTCCCGCTGCCTGGAATGTCCTTCCGCCTCTTCACCAAGCTAATAACTGCTCTGTTTCCTTAAAAATAAGCTCAGTTGTCCCCCATTTAAGAACACGTGGCTTCCTCTAATCTTAAATATTCTCAAAGCACACTGTTCTTACTCTATTATAGTATTTGCTTTCATTTATTTAGCATTAAGTTGATTGTGCTTGGCTATTTACTGACTCATTTCTCCATTATACTCTCTTAAATACAGAAACTGGGTCTTTTAACTACATATTCTCAAATCTTGCACAGCATTTCTCCAATTTCCCTTATCATAAGAATCACTAGGTATAGTGTAGTAAGAAAACTATAAATTCCCAGCTGCAGCCCAGATCAACTAAATCAGAATCTCCTGAAGAGATTTTTGTAGCAAGTGTATACACACACACACACACACACACACACGCACACACACACGCACACACACATACAATCACACATGATGAAACACACAAATGAAAATCTGCCCCTGACACATTCCTGGTAATTCTTATGATGAAGCAAATTTGGGGAAAAGTGATCTAATGGACTGCTGGGCAAACAGCCGATATCCAGTAAATACTGGCTGCATGTACGAATGAGTAAGAAAAAAGGGAAGCTAGTACAGATTTTCAGGTGTAGGGCAGTGTAAAGAGCATGGTATTTGAAGCTGAATCTGGGTTTAAACTCCAGCTTCACTACTCTCTGCTTCATGTTGTTCTGAAGATTCTGCCTACTGTCCTTAGTTGAGTCTGTGTACCTGCCTGACTACAAACATGTAACAGTACATAACTGCCTCATTATAAGCCACTACACATACATAAAAGTAATAAAGCTGAAAAAGCTAGAGAAGACAGAAGAGATGATCCTTTTATCACTGCCCATCGAGGGGAATTCATTCTGAAATTTTGAATCTCCAACTTCCCCTCCATACCACTGTTCCAAAAGAGAATGATTTAGAACTTAAAACTGCATCTTCCATTATTACCTTAGTGGTGATGACTCTGATTTTAATTTGATTTGACTGTTTCCTAGTCTAACATGAAGGCTTACAAAAGAGAACGCACCTCCTGAGTTTGTTTTTTGGCTACTTGAGCAAAAAGGTCTTCACAAAACCTTGGAATTATTCCTGGTTCTTCACTAAGTCCCATCATCCTGGAAAATACATAATAAATGGCAGGGGTGAAGAGGGATAAAACTAATTAGTGGTTTTTTAAAATTCTTCTGGGGAAATGGGTTGGGGAATGAATGGGAAACAAGGTAATTAAACCACATTATAAATATCTAATAACCTAGTCTCTGAAGTCAGATCTTCCTGAGTTCAAATCTTGATCTCACCACTTATAAGCTCTGTGACCTTAAACAAGGTACTTAACCCCAGAAAACCTCGATTTCCTCTTCTATAAAATGGAAATAAATATGAGGTATCTAATTCAGAGAGTTGGGAGAAAGTACAAGCAGAGCCTTTAATATACATATACCATTGATTAGTTGACTACTTTTAATTCTCACAATAATATTTACAAAATAACCTCTCCAGATTTGGGTTTACACAAGACATATGTACAGTAAAATGGACCAATGACACAAAGTAAATAGTATCTCCTGCATAAGCTGAAGCTCAGAGGTTACATAACGTGCCCAAGTTTGCAGAACCAGTATATAAAATGGATGAGATTTGAGCCCAGACCTGTGTGGTTTCAAAACTACATTCTTGGGACGCCTGGGTGGCTCAGTTGGTTAAGCGGCTGCCTTCAGCTCAGGTCATGATCCCAGAGTCCTGGGATCGAGTCCCACATCGGGCTCCTTGCTCGGCAGGGAGCCTGCTTCTCCCTTTGCCTCTGCCTGCCACTCTATCTGCTTGTGCTCACTCTCGCTCTCTCTCTCTCTCTCTGACAAATAAATAAATAAAATCTTTAAAAAAAAAAAAAAACTACATTCTTTCTATCAACACTACACTGTTTCTTACCAAAGAGTCTGGCACTTTCAGTAACTGTACTTGGAAATAACACTTACGTATATGATTTTCCGGAGCCAGTCTGACCATAAGCGAACAGACAGGTATTGTAGCCTTCAAAGGCACGTTCTAGGAGGGGTACAGCTAGCATCTCATAAACAGTTGTCTGGCTAGCATAGTTGGGATGGCATTCATCGAAAGACCAGAATGTAAGATCATAAATAAAATTATAAACTTGTTTCATGTCAGGATGTTCCACAACTATTTCTTCCCCATTCATGAAGACCACCTGGGATGCCTTTTCAACCTTCTCTCTTTATGAAGAAGCACAAAGAAAAATATTAAGTTACTGTGATTATTTTGAGTATTATTCCATAGAATATAACAAGAACCTCAAAACTAGTTAACACAACATACCTCCAGAGCAAGATAATTCTTTAGTTTTATGTGGAAAATGTAGACCAGCTAACATAGTAATAGTGGGTTTCCAAATACATACTTCCTACAGCTCCAGGGTCACTCCTTAGAGGGAAAATGGAGTCCCAGATCTGTTGTCTGAAAAATCACCCTACTTTTACAGGATTTTCCATCTTTTTCCTTTTTTCTTGAGCTCTCCCTTCACCCTTCCCACCACTATAATCTATCTATACTCTTCAGTCCAAATCTAGGAACTTTTTAATATATTATAGAGAAGTTTCAGAGATGCAGATCTACATAAAGCTGACATGAAATGCAAACATAATTTCAACAAACTCAGTTAAGTATAAGTCTCAATCATAAATCTCTTTGGGCTACTGCCTATTGTTACTGTTAATACGAAGCTCCCCCCCCCCCCCGTTGATTTTCCTCCCTTAAAATCATGGATTTTCAGGGCACCTGGGTGGCTCAGTGGGTTAAAGTCTCTGCCTTCGGCTCAGGTCATGATCTCAGGGTCCTGGGATCGAGCCCCACATCGGGCTCTCTGCTCGGCAGGGAGCCTGCTTCCCTTCCTCTCTCTTTGCCTGCCTCTCTGCCTACTTGTGATCTCTGTCAAATAAATAAATAAAATCTTTAAAAAAAAATCATGGATTTTCACGTGCATCCTTCTTCCATCAGACTTAAGTGGAAATCTTTCACTTACTTTGCATCTGCAGAAAAATATTAACAGCCCTTGCCTGGCCCCAGATGTCCCTTTTTGCCCCCAACTCTGCTTTAGATCAGAACTTATCCTGGAATCAACCTGCTTCTTCAATGTGACAAGTGTCCCACCGCCCCTGCTATCAGCCCAGTTTACATGGCTTGTCTGATGAGTCTGGACTCAGGCACTTGGCCCCTTACTAAGTTCTCTTCAGAACTTAGTAGTCATCATCGTGGGTAGTCATCTATCGTGGGGTTTACTCCTACCACCTCTGTTCCTTCTGTTGCCTCTCATCCTATCATGAACCTTGAGGCCTGTCTTTGAGGTTTCCCCATTCTCTCCAGCCAGCTCACTCTCAGTTTTCTCACTTATCACAAACCCCACATCTTCACTAACAGGCTTTAAAGCAACTTATAACTTGCTTTTAATCACTGACCCTTTAGGTTCGAACTAGGGGTTCCTTCCCCAACGGCAGGGGTCACCATATCCTGTCACATCTTGCTTAGATATACAACAGAGTTAACAACTAACACTGAAGGTTTTTTGCAGTCACCCCACAAAACATCCAAAAATAATTAAATGCCACATTCACATTTTGTCATGTTCATCTTTCTCATCCCTACCTGTAATATGTGACTATCTCACCCACAACCACTTTGGAGAGAGATTTTTTACTATCAACCTCAAATCTAATACATCACTGCATTTATTAGATATCTATATCTGATATATAACTATCTATAACATTTATTAGATATATATATCTGATATATAACTACTATCTATCAGAGATGACGATGGGAATGATACTATGCTGGACAGGATTTTGGAAGGACCTCTTTGTGGAATAAGTGACCTAATAGGTGCTCTTTTTAAGGGAAACACAGAAGAGCCCGCCATACATTGCAGATTTGAAAGCAGACTGCATTAGACACTTAAGTCATTCCAATGTTTTCAAAGCAGCAGATCTAAAGAAATTTACATTTATAAAAGATGATTTCCATGTTTTAATTTTATACCCAATCATCAAAAATAATGAGGGTTCCACAACTAAACCAAAAGTTCTCGCTGCATAAAAATGCCAGTGCCAAGCTTGAAGATGCATGAATGCACTCACTTTCCAAAGGCAGAGAGGAATGAGACACATTACATGTCAGAAGTTTGGCCTTAGATTTTAAAAGGTGTAACATACCTCTTGCTGAAAGGCCTCACACGTATTGCCACTGTCACTTGACTGTTCTCTACTTTTAGGGGGTCTGCTTCTATAGAAGTGTTCCGACCTGCTGTTTCCTCTTCAAGAGGGAGTGTATTTTCTTGTGACCTTTCCCTTTCATTCGCTAGAAGAGAACCTCTTGGCTTTTGTTTAACTTGGAGGCTAGGCACCCTATTTTTTGGTGTCGATGCAGCTGGGCTCATGAGCTGTGGCGTGCCACACTTCGGTGTCCATTTGTGTCCTATGATGTACTTCGTAGGTGTTCTTTTTTCTAAGCTTTCAAATTTATTTGAATTTTTTGCCATATCCTTCCCAGTACTTCGCTGATGTAAGTTTCCTGTTCCTGACACTTTGATACTCAACTTGCTCTGAAGAGGTTTTGTTGCCAAGTGTCTGGATGGAAGAACTTTAGTCTGACTCTGGGAATCAGTGGGTGCTCTATTACTTAAGTATTGAAGTGCAACATGTTCATTTGCCCCAAGAGGGGCAGAAAATGTTTCTTTGTGTTTTTCATCATTCATCATTTCAACGTCTTTTGGGCATTCCGCTAAAGGTACAAAAGATGCAACAGAAGAGTCTTTATCATTATTTACAACTGTTACCTTTCTCCTCGCTTCCAGGGAAGCACAATCATTTTCTGTTGGGCTTCCCACATTCTGGGCTGTTTTCCACTTTTTCACACAATCTGTTTGAGCTGTTTTCCCCTTTTCCACAGAATCTGTTTGAGTTGTTCTCCACTTGTCCACAGATTCTGTTTTAGCACGACGCTGTAATGTAAGACGTGTCTCTGCAGTTTTTTCGGTTGAGTCTCCCAACTGGCTACCACGTGAAGATGATTCTTTGTTCCTTATAACTCTTCTCTGAAGTGCCAATCTACCTACAGGGTCAGGAGTAAGAGGAACCTCTCCTGTTTTTTTACAGGCTGAAATCACATAAGTACAATTTATGTCTCTGATTTTACTTGCAGATCTCAATAACGGATCATCATTTTCGCATTCTGACATATCTGAATTCAAATGCAGCTTACGTCTGCTACTATGGGTGAGGACATTCAGTGATGAACTCTTTTGGGAAGAAGGTATACCAAGGATATCCCTGTTATTTCTACTATGTGTGGTGTATACTGCCATTGTGGCGCAAGTTGTTTTAAAAAAGTGTTGTTGAAGAACCAAAGCTCTTTTTTAGATGTTCATTTGACTTCCAGCCATATCTTATGTGTAAGTTTCCAAGTATCTGCTAAACTGTAAAAAAAAAAAAAAAAAAAAATTAGATTGTAAGACTATAAACAGACATTAAAAAATACGAGAACTCTCCACTGTGAAAATAATTTCCCAAAAAAATACATTAGAATAAATCACAATCTCCTCCTTGGATACTGTTCCTAAGCAACTTCACACAATCTCTGCCTTCAAAGAGCTTATAATCATTATGTAACAAATATTTACTGAGTCCCTATTACATGCCAGGCCCTCTGATAGATACTACTGACAAGACCCTGTTCCCATTTCCTTAGTCTAGAAGAAATACACAGTTTTCCATGATATCAGGATAAAGATACTAAGTGACTTAAAATATGTAAACAGTACATATCAAAGAAGATACTTAAATAGCCAATAAGCACATAAGAAGATGTTCAACATCACTAATCATTAGGGAAAAGCAAATCAAAACTACAATGAGATACCATATCACACCCATTAGGCCGGCTACTAACAAAAAAAGCAAGTATTGGTGAGGACGTGGAGAAATTGGTACCCTTGTGTGCTACTGGCGGAAACATGAAATAGCGCAGCCACTGTGGAAAACAGCATGGAAGTTCCTCAAAAAACTAAAAATAGAATTACAATATGACCTAGGGATTCTACTTCTGGATATCTAACCAAAAGAATTAAAATCGGGGTCTTGAAGAGACATTTGTACACTCATGTTCCTAGCAGTATTATTCGCTGTACCTAAAATATGGAAGCAACCCAAGTGTCCATGGATGGATGAAGGGCTCACCAAAATGTGGTATTTACAGACACCAAAATATTATGCAGGCTTAAAAAGAAATTCTGCAATATGCTATAACATGGATGAATCTGGAAGACTTAAAGCTAAATGAAATAAGTCACAAAAAGACAAATACTGGAGGATTCCATTCATATGAGGTACTTGGAGTAGTTAAAAATCATAAAGACAGTATAATGGTGGTTGCCAGGGGCTGGAGCCAGGAGAAAAATGAGGGGTTGTTGTTTAATAAGTACAGAGTTTCAGATTTACAAGATGACAAAGGATTAGGGAATGGATGTTAGTGACGGCTGAACAACATGAATGTATTTAAGGATATACACTTTAAAATGTATATGTAAAAGAAGGTAAGATGATACATGTTATGTGTCTTTTAACACAATAAGGTGGGGGGTAGGAACGTGCATGTCAGCAAAGATTTTTAGTTGAGTACTCCCTGTTTGCAGATTAGGAGAGGGACTAACAGAAACCCTGGCACCTAAATCAAAGACTAGATAAAGCATTTCGATAACACCTGTTGAATGTATGTTAATTACAGGGATGCCTCGTGGAGATTAGTTTGAGAGGGGTCGCAAAACAGAGTATTCCCAAATAAATACCATAGACAATAACTATAACAAGTAAATTAATTGCTTCTGTTGAGAAAAATTATGCAAGATTAGGTAAGTAGACAGCTTGCCCTCTAGCAGTTAGACAACAAAGCAGACAGGTGTGTCTGTAAATATGTCAACAATATCTATGCAGCACTAATGGTTTAAAAGAAAAAGAACTGCAGTGACAGCTAAAAGGTCTGGTTTCTAGTCAACTCCGCACGGAACTGTGTACTACTGATGTAAACAAGTCTTTAAATTTGCATGCCTGGTTCTAATTTGTAAAATGACACTTGCTCAAACTATTCCATAGATACGGCTATGCAGGGATAAAATACTAGAAGTTAACTTTTAAGTAAGTCTTCTGAAGTTTTAAATAAGTAATAATCATTACCACCACCGCCGCCGCCCCCGCCCCAAAAAGAGAAAAACAAAAACAAAACCAAAAACAAAACCACCAGGATATAAGCATCTTCCTTCAACATTTTAACTAAAAGTACAGAATGTTCCTTTTTATGGAAGTAAATTTAAAGGCAAGAAAAGATTCTGGAAATTCTACCGCAGCTAAAAACTATTTGCTACTTACGCAAACAGATGGGGCTTTTTGTTTGGGACGTTTTGCCACCGGAGTTTAAAGAGGAGTGGAACGAACAGAAAGAAGGAAATTAAGTCACAACCACAAGCGAAAGATCCCCGTGGATGGTTCTCCCCGCCAGTCACTCCGAGGGCTGCGACAGCGAATGTACCTCTTAATGCCAACCGACTGGGCGAGACTTCAGTGGGTGAGACCCCGGCCGAGGGGCCCTGAAGTCCGGCTTCCGGGTCCCCACAGAGGAGCCGCCCGCGCGCGTCCTTCGGGGACCCCTTGGCCGCCGACCGGGATTCCCGGGCCGGTGGGGGACCCCGCGCTAAGGCCTCCGCTCGCACCTCAGCGGTCACCGGTACAGAAGGCGCCCGCACGCCCCCACAGCATGGATACTTCCCACCTCTGAAGGGTTCCCCACTCGCGAAGACCTCCCCAACGAGGTCCACACCACTCACAACCCGCACCGCCGGCTCCCTCTGCGGCCGCAATTTGAATGGGCGCCCTGCTTTCTGATTGGCTGCTGGACGTCGCGTCGGGCGCCGCGCCCTCGCCTCCTCCCGCCCCCAGGAAGTGCCGGTTGTCTGGTAGCAAAGATTCTAAACTCCAGACCCGCCCCCCATCTCCTAGGCAACGGGGCCCGCTCCTCCCCGGGCTGCGCTAAGGCTTGGAGCTTGGGCACCTCTAAATACGAGTGACAGTGACGCTTTTGTCGATGCTCAGTATAGAAAAATCGTGGCCTATCCACCTTACAGTGAAGTTGTAAAAATGGCTATTTGTCCTCAAGCTAAGCATAATAATTAATACGATTCTAGCATTTCCTATGCAAAGCGTGGAGATAGAAAGTGTGCTAAAAGACTTTACGTGGAATTTTTCCATTTAATTCTAAAAATTTAACGAGGCAGATATTAATATTATCCCCAAGCTTAGAGTTAAACCGGTGAACAAGCAACCAGCAAGTGGTATAACTAGAATTCTGAAGTCACGTCATAAGATTAATCAGTTTCAATATATATTCCAATAAGATTTTGAAACACAAAAAAAGTAGCAAAGATACATTCTGAAATATAACGAGATCAATGAGAGACTCTAGTCAAACATGTTATAAGGCAACAGTAATTTTATTTTTATTTTTGTTTAATTTTTTTATTTTTTAAATTATTTTGAGCAACAGTGTTTTTTAAAGGGCAAAAGTGCAGGTAATGGAAATGTGTTCAATGGTATACGAAAGGAAACCAGAAGTGGCTCCAACTATATAGAAAAACTGAATGGATGATGAAGTACTTATTCTAAAACTCACTCTAAAAATCATTCTAAAATTAATGATGATTAAGTTATAGAGAAACCATCAGAAAAATAATATAATATTTATCAGGTCTGTGAGAAAAGAGCCATTCAGTCTATAAGCAAAAGATATGGCAAAGGGAAAGACTGACAATCTCAAATACATAAAAATTTTAAACATGTGTAGTTGGAAGTAATAATGAAATGATAAAATATAAGCTAACAAGAAAAATATGTTAAATATGACCGATGAAAACATTTCTTTCAATTTTACAAGGAAATAAGCTTATAAGTAGAATAAGAAAATAAACAGAATTTTAAAATGGACAATGATATTTCACATAAAAAAGAATCAACCTACAGACAAAAATAATTTATATAAAAATAGAACATAAACACCCAATCATTAAATGCAAGTGTAAAAAGAAAAATAGGTATAAATTTAAAAAAATTGTTTTTTACACTTATGTCCTGTTGATTTGGCATCAAAATTAAATGTATAGGGGCATCTGGCTGGGCTAGTTGGTAGAGCATGCAACTCCTGATCTTGGGGTCATGAGTGTGAGCTCCGCTTTGGGAAGCTGGGTATAGAGATGACATTAAAAAATAATAAAATCTAAAGACGCCTGGGTTGCTTAGTCAGTTAAGCGTCTGCCTTTGGCTCAAGTCATGATCCCAGGGTCCTGGGATGGAGCCCCAGGTCAGGCTCCCTGCTCAGCAGGGAGTCTTCTCCTTCTGCCCCTCCCCCTGCTTGTGCTTTCTCCTCTCTCTCAAATAAATGAAATCTTAAAAAATAATAATAAAATCTTTTTTTTTTTTTAACTTTTGACTGGTGGGGAGAGGTAGATGGAGAGAGAGAGTGTTTAGCAGCCTCCACGCCCAGCAGAGCCCTACTCAGGGCTCCATCTCACAACCCTGAGTTGGTGACCTGAGCCAAAATCATGAGTCAAGTGTTTAACCAACAGAGCCACAGAGGCACCCCAGAGATAAAATCTTTAAAAAATATTTAGAAGTATATATTTTTAGTGACAGAAATTGTTATACTTCTTGAAGGCAGGGACCATATTCGTTCACAGAATATCCCTAGTGTTTAATATAAAGCTCGATATATTGTAGATGCTTAATAAATATGTTGTGCAAATCACAAATCGTTCTAGAAAGCAACATGATAATGTGTTGAAAGAACCATAAAGATATTCATACTCTTTGACCTAGGAACTGTTCTGCAAAAATTTATTCTAAGAAAATATTTCAGGGGCACTTGGATGGCTCTGTTGTTAAGCACCTGCCTTTGGCTCGGGTCATGATTCCAGGTTCCTGGGAATGAGCCCCGCATCAGGCTCCCTGCTCAGAGGGAAGCCTGCTTCTCCCTCCCCCACTCCCCCTGCTTGTGTTCCCTCTCTTGCTGTGTCTCTCTCTGTCAAATAAATAAATAAAATCTTTTTTAAAAAATTTTCAGTAGATAACAAAAAGTGTGCAGGAAAATTGTGTATCCATATTGGCCCCAAACTGGAAAAATTCTCAATGCTCAACCCTGAGAGATACTTTAAGTGGTTAAAGATGAGAAATAAATAAATCTTATTAAAACGATTAAGTGCCAGGGAGCCTGGGTGGCTCAGTCAGTTAAGCATCCGATTCTTGATTTCACCTTATGATTTCAGGGATGTGGGATGATTTCAGGGATGTGAGATGGAGCCCCATCAGGCTCCATGCTCAGCAGGGCATCTACTTCTCTCCCTCCCTCACCTTTTGCCCCTCCCCCCACTCATGCTGGCACTCTCTCTCTAAAATAAATAAATAAATCTTAAAAAAAAAAAAAAACCAGCTAAGTGTCCATTAAGGTTATAGTTATGAGTCCAATAAGACCAGACAATGTCTGGCCTATAATCATAATCTGCCCAAGACTGTGAGCTCAAAATGGAGCAGGACCTTGTCTGTCTCACTTTTGCCTCCCCAAGTGCTCTGCCCCAACTGTCAGAGGACCTTCTTCTAACACTAAACTAACCATATTTCCCTCTTCTTTCTGCTTTTAGAAGCTCCCAGTTTAATTCCAACCATAGGAATAACACTCCACAGGACCAAGGGCTACCTGTGAGCCATCTCCAGGTTACCCAAGAGGAATTTTGATCTTTTATTTATTACACTGAGATATACTTCTCCAAATCCTGTCCACAACTGACCAGAAGGGAAAGTCATTTAAACTCTTATTGCCTCAGCTCCCTCATATGGAAATTGCAGATGGTAACGCTACCTTCCCTAAAGCATCCTAATGAGGATTAGATGAGATAATGTATGCAAAGTGCTTAGCTTGGAGCCTGCTGGAGGATTAATGCTTAATAAACGTAAGCTACTAAAATGCATAGCTTAATATAACTCTCCAAAACACGGAAAAGCCCTACTCAAGGCTAGTGATGAGAAACTGGGATCATGCATTTTAGAAGCTCTCTGTTATAATAATGACACATCTTATTTTATAAAGGATGAGGATTATGATTTAATCCCTAGAAATAACTACAAGATGAAATAGTGAGTCTCGTTTTGTAAAGGACTCCCTATACTCTTAGAAATCAAAAGAGCAATGAAAACCTAACTCCAAGAGGGAGCAGTAGCAATCTCAATTTTGCTCCAATTTGATTACTTTTTTTTAGAACTTCAAATTTTGTAGGCGTTTTGAAAGAAGATAAGAAAAGGGAATCCAGTGGGACGCCTGGGTGGCTCAGTTGGTTGGACGACTGCCTTCGGCTCAGGTCATGATCCCGGAGTCCCGGGATCAAGTCCCGCATCGGGCTCCCAGCTCCATGGGGAGTCTGCTTCTCCCTCTGACCTTCTCCTTGCTCATGCTCTCTCTCACTGTCTCTCTCTCAAATAAATAAATAAAAATCTTTAAA